CTATTTCTGCCGTGAAGGAGTAAAGCGTTCCGAAAAAAAAAAAAAAACAGCAGAATGTATTCGTGGAGGGAGCGATGGCGGGACATCGTAAAAATCGTCATATCTGCTACGACCAGGGCTACAGGGATCACGTTCACTCCGTCAAAAGTGAAACGATTAAGTAGAAAATTTATTCAATTTATTTATTTATTTGTTATTTATTTTATTTATTACGCTTCGTGTAAAATTTACATTGGCGGACTTAATGCCTAAGGCATTTTCTACCAGCCAACCAAAAGTAGTCCAGAGTAAGTAGTGGTAGGTGCAATGAAATTTGTATTAAATTACAAATACACAATACAATCTATACACAATCACATATACATATACAAACATATATAAATACATGTAATAGTTTATACAGTATTAAAAGTAATATATAAATAAATTCATTTAACAAATAATATATTATCCTAAATAGAGAACGCACCACAGTCAATGATGACATAATCGTTCACATACACTAGACAAATTATATATGAACTGAGCTTTTGCATGAGTTATACAAAGCCTGTCAGTGACTTAATCCTTTCCAATATTTAAACTCAGAAGTTTATTGGCCATTTCCAAGTTTATTTGGAAGATGACTTGATTATAGATGATATAGAGTACCTATTAAGCGGTAGGCAGCGGCTTGGCTCTGCTCCTGGCATTGCTGAAGTTCATGGGCGACGGTAACCACTCACCATTAGGTGGGCCGTAAGCTCGTCCGCCTACAAGGGCAATAAAAAAAAATCGTGAAAACAAATTGTAAATTAACCAAATAACACGAGATCTTAAAGTAAGCCTTCAATGGGCGTCTACCGTTGGACACGATGCAAACACGGCCCAAAGAACAAAATCCTATTTACGATTTAAAATAAATGTCGGGGATTGCCGCGATAAAAACTTGGTTCAAATTATTTACAAAAATACCGAAAAATCTCTTATTTATTTATTTTAAAATCGTAGTATTTACAGAAAACGACCTGATACGACTAGTTAATTATAGTCTATTTTCGATCAAGAACTCTTAAAATGTTCTCGTAATTTCTGAGTTGAAAAAAACGTAAAAATGACAATTAGTTACTGGTGGTAGGACCTCTTGTGAGTCCGCACGGGCAGGTACCACCGCCCCGCCTATTTCTGCCGTGAAGCAGTAATGCGTTTCGGTTTGAAGGGTGGGGCAGCCGTTGTGACTATACTGAGACCTTAGAACTATATCTCAAGGTGTGTGGCGCATTTACGTTGTATATGTCTATGGGCTCCAGTAACCACTTAACACCAGGTGGGCTGTGAGCTCGTCCACACATCTAAGCAATAACAAAAAAAAAATGTTTTTAGTAGCATCCAATTTTTATTAAGTAAAATACCAACCCGCCTTTTATAAGTCCGTAAACAAAGAAAACAGTTTTAGTGACGTCACGAAATATAAAATACACAAAATAAACGCGATACGGTGTTTTAAATATAAACATTTTGAAATCATCGTTGTCTAGAGAACAAAACGTCTGGTGTGACCGTATCTCTAGCGATTCGACTACCAGTGTTCAAATCCCGCAGGAAAATATAAATTTTTCACTTAAAACAAGCGCTTAACACTGGAGTCTGATATAACCTGGCCCCTTAACCCCCGTGGCAGGGTAAGCTGTGATTCCTCACCTTTAAAAAAAGGTAGGTTTTCACACCTAAACAACTTAACCGATTTTGACAATATTCCCTATGGAAATAGTTTAAGTCCTGAGAAAAAAAGGGTACTTTTCAGTCCGCTGGGGAGTCTGAGTCTACTTATGAAAAACAAAAAAAAGCGTGGTCAAACTAAAAAATAAAAAATTCCCTTCCTCATCAACACAAACTTTCCCTACTAAAAAAGTAATGTTCCCTGGAATCTTTCATAGACGCTTATAGTTCCTACTGTAAAGTTTGTTGTAAAACGGATTGCCATATGGCAACATTGTTGGTGGGAGCAATGGCCATACAGAATCAATACATACTATAGAAAATATAATAGTAATTGATTCTGTCTATTTCTTAACCGATTTTGTTTGTGCTATCAAACAAACAAAATCGACAACCTTAATTATCAATAAAAAAATGTTTTTTTTTTTCTTTTCTTCATACAATTAATTTAAAAAGAAAGAAAAATGGTAAAACTAATCTAAGTCTTTAGGTATCTGTAATTGTACTCAAACATCGGTCAACGGGCGAAAGCTGGTTTAAATAAATACTTTTAAATTCTAATAGCGGCTCGCTCCGGCTCCGCTCGGGTCTTTAGCAAAAATTTCAACGATATTTAACGTTGTTTTATTTTTTTTAAATAAAAGAACACTTATTGTGGCACAACTATAATAGTAAGACATATGCTGTCGCGACACTTTTCGTAAATAATATTGTGTACGCGCTAGAAATTTTTACGTTTTTCCTCAATTATTGTCCACGGATCTGATTGTGATAAATTTTTAGTGTTTATCGGCACTAAAGGGAAAACGAAAGGTTTATATCACACTCTCAATTCACACGAGCCCTTGCAAGTAGTTTCAATAAATTGATGTTTTTCATGCAGTTTGAGTTAGTCAGAAAGGCTTCATTAGCTACTAAAGCAACTTAATAATTTATCTATACTAATATTATAAAGCTGAAGAGTTTGTTTGTTTGAACGCGCTAAACTCAGGAACTACTGGACCGATTTAAAAAATTATTTCAGTGTTAGATAGCACATTTATCGAGGAAGGCTATAGGCTATATAACATCACGCTAAGACCAATACAAGCGGAGCACAAATAAAGAACTTCAAAATCGTTTTTTTTCCCTTTTGAGAGCATCCGCTGCGCTGCAGAAACGGTTAAAATTTCGCTAAAATAATGTATGACAGAATTGTTCCCCTTTAAAAGATCTAAAAAAAAAGTCCGCGATAACATAGGCATATGGTTGGCTCACTATAACGTTTTTTATGCTAACCAAATTTGTTCTAAAATAAAGCATTATTTGTGAACTATTCCACGCGGACGAAGTCGCGGGCAAAAGCTAGTTACCATATAAAATCATAAATGCATTCATGTACAAGCATATCGCGTTTCCTTAACTGGCCCGTGCATTTTACGACACAGATATAACCTAACCACCGAGCTTGTAAAATATTGTGTTATTAACCGATAGTGACGTGTGTTCTGTGTAGCGATCGCGCTTAGAGTTATCTGTATGAAGGCTTTAGGACAACTTGTGGTTATTGTTTTTTATTACCATCATTTTTTACGTTTAATATCAAATGTCCATGGGTACGCTTAGAGCCTGTTCACATGCTGAAATGTAGCCACGTGACTTCTGACCGGCTTGGGTCACGTGGTCGCTCGCTGGCTGTCTTGTTATCTCGCTCATGGTGGGACAATTAGAATTCCGGTTAAAGTTGACCTGCCACAAGACGTCACAGAAGCGGTTCCCGGATCTTCCGCGGAGATAGTTCGTATTTTCCTTTACACTGGCTAAAGATTTGTAGCATGTTAAAAATTATTTGTAACATAATATTGTTATTATAACATACATTGTTAGATGTAAAAATAGATTTACATTTTTATAATTAATTGTGCGTTGAACGGACAAACGATCCGAATTTTTTTATAGTGATTGCGAGTGAAAAAAGTTGTTTTCAATGTAGAAATATAAAATAAATGCATATGTACATCAAGACACACTTGGTATCGGCCCTCGCCAAGTCAGTCAGCTGGTCGATTTAATGCGAGACGCTTGCGCTTTCTTAATAACTTTGGCTTACGATAGTAATCATAAAATAGTTTGTAATTGTATATACTGTCGCTTTAAGTTATTGTTTCACAAATGTTCACGATTGACTTCCACGGCGAAGGAATAACATCGTGCAGTAAAAATCAAACCCGCAAAAATATAATTTGCGTAATTAGTGGTGGTAGGACCTCTTGTGAGTCCGCACGGGTAGGTACCACCGCCCCGCCTATTTCTGCCGTGAAGCAGTAATGCGTTTCGGTTTGAAGGGTGGGGCAGCCGTTGTGACTATACTGAGACCTTAGAACTATATCTCAAGGTGTGTGGCGCATTTACGTTGTAGATATCTATGGGCTCCAGTAACTACTTAACACCAGGTGGGCTGTGAGCTCGTCCACACATCTAAGCAATAAAAAACTTAAGAGGTGTCAAGGGACACCCGGATGGAACGAAGTTCCTTTCGATTAATTAGTGAAGGAATTGTAATTTTTTTTTAAAGTTATAATAATAAATTACGGCATTATGAAGAAGAAAAAAACAATACTATGAACTAAATTACTATTGTTGAAACGCTATCTCGAGAAACTGTACTCATTACGCGGACCAATCGGATACGAGCAATGTCACGCGATAAGCGCCTACACGTTGATTGGTCAGAATGACGGATTTAAAAAGTGTCGTGACAACTTTTCGTAAGAATTTTTTCCGTCTAGCCCCTTTCACAACGCGCGATAAGGAACTTCGTTCCAAAAAAAATATATCTCCACTCTCTTGTCCTTCTTTGTGTTTGTGCTTTCTGTTCTTTGACAATAAACTGATAGTGTTTTAAACTGTGCGGGTGGTTTAATTTTATAACGCTTCAGGTTAATTTATCTTATTTGTAAACGAATTGTATAGACAGCCATTCTACTAAAGTTTTATTTCCATGTCACAAATAATTACTAATCTTATTTTAAATTGATGCAAATATTATCCACCGAATGGGATTCAAGTAAGAGGAAGACTACATTAACCAGTAACCACTTAACACCAGATGGGCTGTTAGCTCGTCCATCCAAGCAATAAAAATATAATGACATTGGAGTTTAAAGAAGAACGCGGATGTGAATGGCAACGCACTAAGATTAAACCATAAAACTAGAATTATTTCTGCCTCTCGCGAATACTTAGACGATTGTGTAATAAAATATAATAAAAGACGGAATAATCATTAACAAAATTTTATTCAATCAATTACATTTCATACACATACATAAACATAATTGTTCACCACACTTATCAGGTACATATCTTTTTCATACATTTAAACGATCAAAGACTAGCACTTTATAATTAGAAAAATACTTTTGATTAGCCTCATATTTTAATACTAACAAATATTTTAAATTATAAGTACATCGCAATCTACATCGGTAAGAGATCACTTAAAACTGTAAGAGCGGTCAATGTGACGACGTTTTTATCGCCAACGAAAGCCGAAGATAGAGCCAAGAGCTCGCGTGACGGTAAGTGCTAAGTTCTCAGGCAAAGACATTCCAAAAAATTGCTGCCTTTCTAAAAGAACTTTCATCTCATGTCATCTCATTTTGATGTACCACATTATATTCTATCCTATTCTATTACTGAATTTAATTCAATTTATTTATAAAAAGGCAGAGCTTATAGCTCAGATTAATGTAATCCTAAAGTTCATTATGGAATATGTTAAGTCTTCAGTATTTAAAGCTCATCGCATTGGTATCGGTTCGAGTCCTGAAATAAAAACAAATTAGCAAAAGTTCAGATACAATTTTCATCATCATCATTATAAACAGTGAGATCCTCCTGACGTGAACATAGAGGCCAAAGTCAGTCAAACTGCCAGATATCATGGTACTGATAGCCTTTTGTATGCGAGATCTTCAATTTATTATATTATAAATACTCCAAATGAAAAATGGAGGCGATATGAGATGAAATGAAATAGCGTCGCAGTAAAATGGTGGGAATTTACAAAGACATCACTGAGTTTTCTGGAAAGCCTCACAAAGCCAGGCTTAGCGACTCCGTTCCATTTTCCCCACTATTGGGAAATCTCACAGATACTAAACGTTTAGTAAGCCACCTCTATCTCCCGATTAAATTTGAAGAAACATTAAGTTAACAAAATGGATCAATTCACACAAGCTCACTCCTCATGTTTATAACAAAAGGTCCACATCCAAAGGACGCAGAGGGAACACAGCTGTGGACGCTTCAAGTGAGGTTTCTGACACGATCCCTATTATTTTAAGAAGACCGTCGCTGTACCAGTACTACCGTAGGGACTATATTTTGACTGGTGGTAGGACCTCTTGTGAGTCCGCACCGGTAGGTACCGCCACCCTGCCTATATCTGCCGTGAAGCAGTAATGCGTTTCGGTTTGAAGTGTGGGGCAACCGTTGTAACTATACTGAAACCTTAGAACTCATATGTCAAGATGGGTAGCGGCATTTACGTTGCAGATGTCTATGGACTCCATAACCACTTAAGACCAGGTGGGCTGTGAGCTCGTCCATCCATTTACGCAATAAAAAAATACATACATTGGAATTGTCAAACTATCGATAACACATTGCGTTTTAATTATAATCATTATAATCCGAATGTACTTTAGCCACATACCTGACCACCCTGTCTCATTACATTACAGTAATAAAGCATCGTGTGATCCCGGGAGACACCTACCTAATATATGCTGGTCAATGCTGGGTCCGGACACGAACCGCCCAGAGAAGCCGGGGTGTATGTCCTCGAAGAGTTGCTTGTGGCTCTCCTTGAAGTTCCACAGCAGAAACCTGTGGTTCTGCTCGAGGTCTAGTATCGTGGAAATCAAATTCTGAAACCCGCAAAATTATAATTTGCGTAATTACTGGTGGTAGAACCGCTTGTGAGTCCGCGCGGGTAGGTACCACCGCCCCGCCTATTTCTGCCGTGAAGCAGTAATGCGTTTCGGCTTGAAGGATGGGGCAGCCGTTGTAACTATACTTGAGACCTTAGAACTTATATGTCAAGGTGGGTGGCGTATTTACGTTGTGGATGTCTATGGGCTCCAGTAACCACTTAACACTAGGCGGGCTATGAGCTCGTCCACCCATCTAAGCAAAAAAAAGAAAGTTGAAAGATTTAAGAAATCCTCCGTAGTCGAACTCGACTCTAAAGTACCAGGGACGCAGGAGCGGGGGGAGCTCACCTCGGCCACTCCGTAGTCGAGGCGCTGCACGTGCCGCGCGTCCAGCACCGCCACGTGCACGTGCTCGCCCGCGCGCCGCCGCAGCTGACGCGGCACGTGCTCGCAGCACGAGTACGTCAGCGTGCCCAGCAACGTCAGGATTATGCAGTCCTGGTTGCCGACCTGTGCAAGCCCATTATATTGATAATAGGGAAATAAAAGCTACACAATTATAGTGCTTACAGCTTTAAGAAATTTTCGCATTTATAGCTTCCATTGAAATAGGAATTGCGAAAGCTTCGAGTGCAAGAACTTTCCACGCTCAATTTATAAGCCCTCCACGATTTGAACCACTCCTAAATTGTGAATATATAATGTGATGTATGTATATAAATGTAAAACGTAAATATGTAAAAATTAATATATAGTAAAATGAATTAAGAAAAATGTTTAGATATACTGTAGTCCGTTGACTTCCATGACGCTATTGAAAACAAACTCAAATTAGCAATATCGATTTTAATGGACAATTTAAAAATAAGACCTTGTAAATAATATTCATCTGCCATTATTATTATTGTCATGATTTGAAAAAATATTATAAATAACAAGGGAATTCTAACATAAAACGGCCGTCTGGTGTAGTGGTAAGTGACATGGTCACTACACAAGGGGGTCGCGGGTTCGAATCCCGCCAAGGGAAGATATTTGTATGATAAATATAAATGTCTTTTCCAGGGTTATGGATGTATTGTAAATATATGTATTTGTATAATAAAAATCCTACATTTATTTCCGTTATCTGGTACCTGTAACATAAGTTCTTTACGAACTTATCACGGGACGTAAATATTTATTTATTATTATTATTATTATTATAAATGCAGTTTGGCGTCAAGCTAAAAGCCGTTCATTCACAGCGCACGACGTCGTATGTGGTTAATCAATCTATGGTCAGGTTGTTTTAGCCTCAAATGACGTCACACATAATGAAAATGCGATATCGACAGCGTCATAACAAGAGCTGTGCTCAGCCTTCGCACGGGGCAACAACCTTTGATCATAAGTCGATTTTGGCAGCTGGATTTTTTGCGAGGGTCACTTATACACAAGACGGAAGCGTTGTCACCGCTATCCTCGTGAAGTCCACCTCACCTTGAAGAGTTGATGGTGCAGGTCGGGGCGGGCGGCGTGCGCCAGCGTCCTGGCCACGTCCAGCCCCGCCCCGCACAGGATGCCGTACTCCAGCCCCACGCCCGCCCCCACCAGCACCGTCAGCGAGTACACCGCCAGCTCCAGCTCTGCGCAACGCGGAGGGCGGTTGAGCAATAACAAGCCTTTATAGCTCCAGTCCGTAAATGCCTTACAAGTTTTTTTTTTATTGCCCTTATAGGCAGACCAGCACACGGCCCACTTTGATGGTGAGTGGTTACCGTTGCCCATGGACTTCAGCAATGCCAGGGGTAGAGCCAAGCCGCAGCCTACCTACCTACAAGTATTTGGAGCATTACCATAGAGTGCTCTGCGAAATTGTTCGAGATGATACCATCATTTCGTTTTTACCATCGCACCGCTCGCGACCGAAGCAGGACTCATCCATACTACCTGGAGCTACTGCGTTCATCCACAGTGCGTTTCCAGGGATCTTTTTTGCCACGTACCATCCGGCTTTGGAATGAGCTCGCCTCCCCACTGTTTCCCGAGCGCTATGACATGTCCTTTTTCAAACGAGGCTTGTGGAGAGTACTGAACGGTAGGCAGCGGCTTGGCTCTATCGCTGGCATTGCTGAAGTCCATGGGCGACGGTAACCACTCATCATCAGCTGGACCGTATGCTCGTCTGCCTACAAGGACTATAAAAAAAGATTTGTCCATTATTATGAACCATTCAAAAATTCTCACTATATTCAGATTACATTATCACTTATCCTCAAAAGCCTCATTTCGGACCTCCATTCTACTCCTCCCTTCCCCACGCATTAAAACCTAAAGAAAACTCTGCAAACTTCGTATAAAGCATCAACTCACTGCTATTCCTCCACAATTTCGTCACGAGACCGAATTCCGTGATGGAGGTCATGGCCACGATGATGATCCCGGCGAGGACAGTTTTCGGGATGAAGAAGAACGCGTCCGTTAACAGAGTCACCGCGAGGAGGACGAGACACGCTGGAAGATGAAGGGTTTGGTTACGGTCTGTTTGGCGCTACGGAATGACATCGGCTCGCACGGCACCAGCCGTTGGCGTGTTTACTGACTTATGACGTCACAATCAAAAGCACAGGCGGACAGGGCGATACTAAAACAGATGACTTTTTTTATTACTTAGATGGGTGGACGATGGACGAGCTCACAGCCCACCTTTTTTTTAACGCTGGGGAATGCATTTACTAGGTAAGTAGTACTTCAATCTAGTAATACTTAAATCATAAAAAAGGGGTCGGTTTACCTTTGAACAGGGAGCCCGCGGGGGTGATGACGCCGCAGGCATGGTTGATGGCGGTGCGCGTGAAGGAGCCCGTGGTCGGCATGCTCTGACCGAAGCAAGACAGAATGTTGCAGGCCCCCAGCGCTATCATCTCCTGCGTGCCGTCCACTGGCTTGGACCCAGCTGATGAGGGAAACTCATCTTTATTGGCTTCTCCTGTATCTCTCATATGTACATAAAAGATTCTTTCAACATAGCTTCACGTTCAAGACTATAAAGACTAGTCAAGAACCGATGACAATGCAATAATTTTAATATTTTGACCTAATTAATATCATGACAAGAATCAGAATAATAACAAAGTTACTACTAAGTTAATTGGTTGTTCTATTAGTGATTTGATCGTTTTTTTTTAAGCCACATCATTTTTATTCTAACATCTAATTAACTGTCTTAGATATTTCATAAGATATCCACTTCATTAAGACACTACTTCAAATGATAATCAGTTTTGATTAAAACTTCAAAACGAACTCAAGCAATAAACAAAATTTGTTTTTTCCTACCTACGCCGTAAGTTCGGTTTTCCTCCCGCTGTACAGGGAAGAAAGTGTAACTTTTCTTCCCTGGGTACTGACAAGTGCGCATGCGCGTTAGTGTCTACGTCTGCTCTCACGCACCTAACATTCTCCGCCATTGTTGTGGTCGGGTAATTTGCAATATTGTGTTTAGTGTAAAAGTGAAATAAACAAAAGGCAATAAAATTTAATACTGAGGTATTCAACAAAGATGAGTCCATCAGACAGTTTTATTCAATTAGTAGTAGTTTATTTAAAAATTAAAAAACAGTTAAATTGTTTTTTTATGAGTGCGGGGGGCACTCCGCCTCACCACCACCTGCCAGGGCTTCGCCCCTGGACCCCGGCTCGGTAATCAACGAACTTTCGGCCTGGTAGGAGAAAAAATAGTATGTGCAATGTACTATTCTGCAGAGAAAACAAGAGACATATTGTAAAAATAACCAACAAAATGTCAGCGTAAGAATTAAAAAGAGCATCTGAAATACACTTACCAAATGCTTTGGCAATGGCGACGCTCTCTAATATAGTGACCAAAGGCATCACCAGGCCCTCCGCTCCGAACACGGCCAGCATGTCCGTGAAGTTCAGAGTTCGGTTCCCGACCACGGTACTGAAAGGAGGAGGCCCGAAACGGGGCAGACCTCCATTTATTTTACCTGGTTGAAGACAATAAGACATTGCACAATATATGGACACATGTACGATTGGGAAGAGTGATATAAAAAAATATATCTTTAAACTTAATTGAATTATATTTAAAAGTAAATTGTAAAGGAGAAACCCGAAATTCATACAAACTTGGGCCTGGCGTTACAGTGCTAGAATTTGGACATAAATTACAATACCTAAGAAGGTTTCATGAGCCCAATTTTCAGGTCTCCCAGCAATGGCCAAATTGGTAAAATCAGACAATGTTTACATTTTAGGTTAAGTTTATTGTTCGAGATATTTTAATAAAAAACAATATTTTTAAACGATATTTGTTTCCTACTAAAGATGAGTAGTTTTTTACGAAACTCGTCGCAGCAACAAGTTTCTTTGAAAATAAAAATGGAACCTGTTACGGAAATCGTGCATTAGGTTGTTTACGAAAACGAACGAAAGCCAAAATTAAAAACAACGTAATGCGAATTATTGCGAATTGCGAAACGCGCTGCGCACGAAATGATTTTTTTAAGAGATTTTATGACCTGGTAACTAGGACCTTTAGGTCAGTCTTATTTTAATTTTAATGAAAACTTTTTTATCGATCCTATTTTAGGGATGCTCTAATTCTAACCCACACGTTTGTGGAGCTAGTTACGTATATTGAAATAAGTGTTGCAGATGTTTACAAACATTGTTTAAAACAAAAAAATAGAATTCAACTTATTTTCTACACTTGGCCATTGTCAATGAAGCTAAGATTTCAATAGGTTAATCAAGCAAAATAGACGAATTTTTTGGTACATATCCCATTCGTGTAACGCTTAGGCCCAGAATGGGGTTTCTCCTTTTATAAAAATACAATATTAAGATAATCAATACATTAGAAAGAGAGAGAGAGAGAGAAAGTGGCACAGAGAGGGCATAACGCTTTTTCATTAAAGTACCAGGAGGGCATAAACGGGAAGAGCGGCTCGCAATACATCTGTATTTTTTAGATAAGATTATGAAGCCCGAAGTGGTCACCGAAGCTCATGGACAGCAACGAGTGAACGACATCGATCGCTTTATGAGAACAAAAAAAATAACTATATAATGCGGCTTCCCAGATTTTCATATCGTACCAGGGTAACATAAGTAACAAGGAATCCTCTAAAACAAAATCAGTATTTTGGTAATAATTGTTTTATGATAAAATTACTTTGTCCAAATCTGATTGTTCTGTCCGAACTCAAGTCTCAGGTTTGGTGACGAAATGTTTGTGATGATGTCCACTGACCAATAACCGTTTTTGTTTTCATTGGAAAAATAAGTACTTTTTTTTTATTTATTTTTTATTGCCCTTGTAGGCAGACGAGCATACGGCCCACCTGATGGTGAGTGGTTACCGTCGCCCATGGACTTCAGCAATGCCAGGGGCAGAGCCAAGCCGCTGCCTACCGTTAACTAGTACTAGGAAAGGATGAAGAGTTAACAGGTGTACGTCTTAAGTTTTATTACGGGAACCACCATTTCCACTGGATACGAACTAACCAATGTTCTATACAATTTTCACTATAATCTTATTGAAAACCAAACATATTTCAACCTCATGTCCCAAGATGGTGTCTGTCACCAGTCTGCTTACGTCAAGTAAAGCAAGAAGATGTGATAACTGATACAGCTGATAGTGACAGAGAAAGTGGAAGGCAATAGGCCAAGAGGTCGGAACCCAACGTGTTGGACGGATCAGGTATCGCGTCCAGTACATACTGTTGAGCGTCATGGGTGATCCTCAGCAGTGATACAATTGAACAATTCATAAATGTTTTTTTCTATGGGATTTTATGACCTGGTAACTAAGACCTTTAAGTCATGTCTTGTTTTAATTTATATTCTTATTTTTATGAAAAATTATAATATGGAATGAAATGAAATGAAGGTGATTAATTTGAGAAATTAATCAACTGGGATGAAATTAAATGAAATGAGATGATATGGGATGAAATATAATCTCAGTAAAATGGTGGTCGTTTACTGAGATTTTTTCAGTGGACTTTTTGGATGAACCCAAGAAGTTACGTCCAGCGACTTTTTTCCATTTTCCCACATTTGTACACTTTCACAGACATTAAACAGTTAATAAACCACCAATATTACACATTTAAAAGAAACACTAAATAGACAAAATAAAACAAATCACACAACTTCACTCCTCGCGTTCCCGCCAAAAAGTTAATTCATAAATGTCAAGATGGCGGCAGGCGCGGTGTGATGTCTGCGAGTTTTATTTAATACCAGATCGTCACGTTGCGCTGTAAGGTTTGAGACCAGTCTACGATATACGGACCTGTTAATGCGAAGGGCGTCCAGCCTTGCACGTACAGGATGTAGGCGAGGATGGAACCGACAAACACGACCAGAGCGTTCCTAGCCCTCAGCACGTACACCCAGAGCTTGGCGAACCGGACCCGGCACGAAGATGAGTCCGGACCCACCGGAATCGTCGCGTACTAACAAATATTAATAAATATATATATTTATATACCAACATTAGGTAAAACTGCAAGATAAACAACTCAGGTCACACAATCTTGTAGGTTTAACGACGAAAGGAAGATCTTCCACCGAGCGCGTGATGTTGCTCGGTAGACCGACGCGACGGTCCGTATGTTGTGGTTCGGAACTTGTATATATGCGAGCTTAACTTGCGTTGTATGATGGCTACCGCTACAATCTTTTTTTTTTATTGCTTAGTTGTGTGGACGAGCTCACAGCCCACCTGGTGTTAAGTGGTTACTGGAGCCCATAGACATCTACAACGTAAATGCGCCACACACCTTGAGATATAGTTCTAAGGTCTCAGTATAGTCACAACGGCTGCCCCACTCTTCAAACCGTAACGCATTACTGCTTCACGGCAGAAATAGGCGGGGCGGTGGTACCTACCCGTGCGGACTCACAAGAGGACCTACCACCAGTAATAAATTTACATTCTAGTTATGCATTTACAATATAATTTAACTCGCGACAGATTTGTTACGGCTAGAGAGAAAAGATACAATTTAAGAAGAGCGAGAGTGAGAAAATAGACAGCGCGTCTCGCGAACCACTCGACCGTGCAAGACCAAGAATCGACCGTGGAGAGGGAAAGAACAAAGCGAGCTAGGTCGTTTCTCTTATACACAGCATTCTCGATTACAAGAGAAATTTACAATAAAAAATGAAGAAAACCGCACTGCACACCGTACTGCACACCGCAAAAGAAGTTTTACTTCTTTCACGTGCACCAAGTTGCACGCGCATCATTTTTATTGTTATTTAATTTTAATTCTCAAACACTAAAAAACTTTAAATAATCCAGATAAAAATTTTAGGCTAAAGTAATAATTATATTGTGATCAATCCTTGATGCGTGTACAAATTTTCAAGTTAAATTCAGTTAAACGGACATCTTGAAGTCAGCAAATATTACGTAGACAGATGACCGAGCTAATAATAAGAACGTAACGAAAATAAGCACGATACGTTCAATGTTGAAGGATACAATTTTCTCCGGTCTTTTTTGAGGTAAAGGTGCTAATAGCACAGAGGTCCAGCGTCACCATGGTGCTGACCGGGCGACGGTAGAATCTGTTAACAGCTACCCGAGCACCTCCGAGGGAAACCAGCCAACTCGAGAGCAGCTGCTTCGCGAATGAATCAACTACCGCATCAGCCGTGTCACTGATACCAGAATCATACGAAACAAATAACTAATGGTGGTAAGTCATTTTTGTTTTTTACTGGTGGCAGGACGTCTCGCGAGTCCGCACTGGTAGGTACCACCACCCTGCCTATTTCTGCCGTTTAGCAGTAATGCGTTTGAGTTTGAAGCGTATCTCAAGGTAGATAGCGGTATTTTTGTTGTAGATATCTGTGGGCTCCGGTAACCATTTCACACCAGGTGGGTCGTGAGCTCATCCTACCCACATAACCAATAAATAAAAAATAATATACACCGAAATCCAAACATCATTCCAAATATACCACGAAGTACATCGATTCTCATTTCAGCATTAAGCCAGCAGTGTCAATGTCAATGTCGCAGCAGCCAGTTCAAAGTCAACTCACCTTCAACAGCATTAATGATATTATCGTGACCACCCCCAGCAAAGAGTCATTTAGCTGTATCGTTGTGATGTTTCTGAAGAAGTTAATGATGGCCTTCACGAACGTATTGCCCGAGGAGCCTGCAAACGTTTACAAAACCACAAATTTCTACATGACGTCATTCAGGATTGAATTGTACAAATGGTATTATAAAGTCGTCGTGGCCTAAAGGATAAGACAATAAGGAGCGATGCGAGTGTGCCGGTGTTCGAATCCCGCAGGCGGCTACAAATTTTTCTAATGAAATACGAAAACAAAGATTTTTTTATTGCTTCCAAATCTACTGAGCGTCTTAATCTTTAGGCCACGACGACTTCAAGACGATAAAGGAATAAAATCTTGAAAATAAAAATTAAACGAGCAAAAATTATAATTTGCGTAATTACTAGTGGTAGGTTTAGAGTTTACTAAAACTACTAGGCGTTAAGAGTTTACTGGTGGTAGGACGTCTTGCGAGTCCGCGTGGGTAGGTGTCACCAACCTATCTATTCCTACCGCGAAGCAGTAATGTAGGATGGGGCTGCTTACTGTTATACTATACTACTTATACTATAAATTTTGATGCAAAACCGGCCTATCCATAGTTTCACCCATACATAACAGATGGCTTTGTAAACATTATTTCTGCGCGTATTTTTTTTGCCTACTCAAATTCAATTTCATGAAAACTTAAACCTCCATTTCTCCATAATAACTATGGTAAGCTTAGGCCACTTTTGCGCTGACGGCCTTAAATAAATGTAACATAGTGAGACTGTTAGGGATCATTCAGTCAACTTCTTTACCGCCACCGCTACACCGGTGCGCTCCTACCCAATACCTACAAGCTCCAAGAAGGAATCCCTGCATCTGTCTTTCCCGTACACTCTGATACGCCTGTCTTTACGAGGCAAGAAAAAGTCCGCGGTACAATGCAGCAGATCAGTTTAAGTCCCTCGCAATGCCACCATTTCCACTCGCCATGAGACGAGCCGTGATTTCATATAAGCGGCAGATCTTACCAGAAACTCCAAACAGGGATCTCAGCTGGGATGCTCCAATTTGTAGAGCCGCAGCCGTTGTGAAGCCCGCTATCACCGGCTTTGATATGAAATCTAATATGAATCCTGGACAAACGTATACACATATCAGAAGCGCTCGTGACCTTTTGCAATTAGGAGACGTTGTGATTCAAAATCATTTTGGAAAATACCAATTTTTCCTATAAAGAATGCACGTAACACCCTTTCAACAACAACGTCTATGCCCGAGAATAAACAAAATCAAGTAATCTATACAATTTTTTTTTAATATAGGCTAAGACCAAACAGTTAAGTACCAAATTTTTTTTTTATTGCCCTTGTAGGCAGACGAGCATACGGCCCACCTGATGGTGAGTGGTTACCGTCGCCCATGGACTTCAGCAATGCCAGGGGCAGAGCCAAGCCGCTGCCTACCGTTTAATACTCTCCACAAGCCTCGTTTCAAGAAGGGCATGTCATAGCGCTCGGGAAATACCGTGGAGGGGTGCTCATTCCAAAGCCGGATGGTACGTGGCAAAAAAGATCTCTGGAAACGCACTGTGGATGAACACAGTGGCTCCAGGTAGTATGGATGAACTCTCTACTCCGGTGGCGCGCAATTTCTCCTTTGTTTATGAACTGAATTTTCGGTATTAATTGTCGAAAGTTTAATGTTATTAATTTGTTTTGAAATACATAATCAGTTTTCAAATCTTCACTAACAAAATAAAATAGTTAAATAACATTAAATGAATGTAAATCTTGAGATTTCAGTAATTATGATCGAATTTCACTCATTAGGCAAATACTAATAAAATCAAACACGCTCTCGCTCTCTCTCTCACTCTCTTTTTCTTCTTCAAACTGTGTCCACCCAATGTTGAATGTCTCTTCAAATGCACTCCATTTTTTAGGTCTCTTGTCTTTCGCATCCAGTCCTTACACCTATTTTGCCCATTTAGCATACCATCAAACACGCATTTATTTTGAATTCCGTAATTACTGAATCCAACGTTCGACTTATGTCTGCCACTGAGCATTCACGCGTTGTTCGAGGATTGGAAGAGCATTTATTACAATAACATTGAGACTCTGAGTGGAATGGATTTGGGGAGTGCTCTGAGGAATTTTTCGAGATGATACCAACGTCTCGTTTTTACCATCGCACCGCCCGCCACCGGAGTAGAGTTCACCCATACTACCTGGAGCCACTACGTTCATCCACAGTGCGTTTCCAGAGATCTTTTTTGCCACGTACCATCCGGCTATGGAATGAGCTCCCCTCCACGGTGTTTCCCGAGCGCTATGACATGTCCTTCTTCAAACGAGGCTTGTGGAGAGTATTAAACGGTAGGCAGCGGCTTGGCTCTGACCCTGGCATTGCTGACGTCCATAAGCGACGGTAACCACTCACCATCAGGTGGGCCGTATGCTAGTCTGCCTATACGGAAATAAAAAAAGCTCCCATATTTTCCCATATGGGGGCGCATACTCCAATCTTTCTTTTCACCTAAGACGAAAAACACTCACCCAGTTGTAAAATTCCAAACAGTAGGACTATACACCCGGACAAGAACGAGGCCAAATATGCGAAATCGTCGGAGTACGCTACGTACTTAGCCACGAGAGCCGATAATATGGCGGTCGGGCCCAGGGTAATGTCCTTGCAGCTTCCAAATAAACTGTAGACTATGCCCGGGAATATACTGGAATACAAACCGATCTGTAACAAAGATGAAGTACTTTTAGTTAAACACCGTCCTGTCTGTAATTAGTGTTTATCTATGGTCATTTGATTTTAGTACATGCTAAAACGGAATCAGTTCAATGCAGTGATGAAATCGATTATAAGTTCTAAAGGTATATTTTTCTCGAACATTCTATCAAATATGTTCATGACCTTATAACAAATTTCAATTAGATATATGTATTCAAGTTGGCTACCTATCACGTATATACAGAACTAAACCTAAAATATATACAGAATTATAATAACCAATAAAAACTTGTTAACAATGTGGTGTATATTGGATATGACAAGCCAACTTCGTACTTACATACCCGATCCTGTGGACCGAATGGTAAACAGTCGACGTCGCCCTAAGCACGTCATTACGGATCCTCCCGATCCATTAACGGTGCTTTTAGGTACCACAAGCACTGGTCACAGTCCTCGCCGAACGCGTCGCTTGCGGCGAAGGGTTCGACGAGTAAATTGACCCATATACACAACCCACTGAGTTTCTCGCCGGATCTTCTTAGTGTGTCACGTTTTCGATCCGGTGGTGGATTCTGTGACGCACTGCTCTTGCTAGGACCAGTGTTAGCAACACTCCGGTTTAAATAGTACTTACTTGCGGGGGTAGGCCAGCGATCATTGCGTAGGCAATGCCTTGAGGTATTGACGTGAGGCCGACCGTTATACCTGAAATGGCGACATAAAACATGAAATGTGCGAAATTGGGGAGGCACGGGCGGACATGCGAGCTTCAGGTCCTTGGGGGATGCCGTGAACACTTTTTTCTCTATTTATTTGCTGGTAGCCTAAGGGACTTGTGGGAGACTTAAACGACGAAGGAAAAGATCTTTCACCGAGCGTGTGATATTGCTCGGTAGACCGACGGTCCAAGTATTGATTTTCGAAACTTGTATATAAGTATATGCGAGCTATCTTGAAAATGTCGTAAGCGAGATTCAGGCATCTGTCAAATATCTTGCGTTGTATGATGGCTACCCGCCACAGACTATTTTAGTTTCTCAGCGAGGGGTAGGTCTCACGGGCTAAATCTGAGAGTATTTGCTAAACCTAGCCCTAGCAAGAGCTCTAGAATCTACCACCGGATCGAAATCGCAACCCGAGAAACCGATAAATGGTCACGTTATCCATGAGCTCTTTCACTCATTTACGTAAATAAACGAAAATATATATGTAAATAAACGTAATGAAATAAAACAAAACACACACACACTATCCACGTACAGCATGCGTGTCAATGTTTAGGTAACATCTGTTTTCACTTGCAGCCGCACAATAACATGATCGGTGTATTTTAATTTACAGAAGTGGGAGTCGTTCTTTAACGCGTGTTAAAAAACCGTACCTCCAAATGATGTACCTATTGATGTCTGTACAACAAAATCCCACAAGATGTTCAGAACCTACATATACATAGGTTTAAGAAAACTATTAAAGAACATCTGTGCAATAAAGCTTACTATAAAGTCAATGATTATCTAGAAGATTGCACAAAGTGGGAACGAGTTGAATATTTAAAAAAAATCTAATATTAAAAAAAAACTAATATTTAAAAGAAAAGGCATGCCCGCTGAGTTTCTTGCCAATTCTTCTCAGGACGGAGGCTAGTTCTTGTGAATTGGCGGTAGTTCATTTGACGTTCAACAAGTATGTACTTTCATTTATGTTGATTTTTTTTTTTTTGATTTGATTTGATTGTTGTTATGTAATCGTATCTATCGGTTAGCAGTTCCGCGAACAGTAGAATACATTAACAACAAACTAGCGATACAGAATATAATTAAAACAATGTTAGACAGTGTTTCAGCAACAGTACAACAACAGATACGCGTGCGACGACCTAAACTTCCCTTGTCCCTTGCCGGAGGTGGAGTAAGATGCGACGAAGGGTTTTATTTTCCCAACCTATTCGTTGGTAGCCTAGAGGGCTATTTCAGCTACGCCCGGACGGATAGGTGAGCTCACGGGCTCAACCTGAGAAAATTCGCTAACACTAATCCTAGCAAGAGCTCTAGAATCTACCATCGGATCGAAATCGGCATAGAAAAGATCCGGCTAGTATCTCAGTGGACTCTATCTATGGGTTAGTTCACTCAAGACAATGGGACTGACCGGACAATGATAATAGCGCTTCGTTCTAGCATACTGCGATAGACGACAGTTTACTGGTCATGCAGTGCGATACATATTATTGGTCAGACTTTACCTCAGGATAAGTAACTGCATTCTATGTAGTTTTGACATATACATATGGGCTCCACTAGGCTGATTAGCAGACTCTTTAAAATGGCACCATAATTACGCCCGTGCAACGTGTTCCTACACCAAAAGGCTAGAAAGCAATGATCGGAAAGAAAATCTAAAAAAATATAATATGGCCTCACCCGCAATGAGATCCCTAAACAGAGATTCAAATGTATAACGTGGAAGCCATATCGTGATTGGAAGTCTTCTCTTCCACGAGCCCAGGCCGCAAAACTTTGCCGCTGTTTTCCTTAACCGGCCCCTTGAGGGTTCCCCTGAAAAAGAAAAAAAAACGGCATATGAGTATATGAATCACTGTTAATTAGTCCAAGGATTGCCGATGCACACGAAGGTCTTCAAGGCGCGTTTGAGGATCTTGTTCATTACAGTCCGGATTATACACGATGAGTGGTTTAAAGATGAAATTGAGATAATAGGATTAAATCAAACAATTCCTCAGAGCACTTGTTATAAAAACTACACTGTATAGCTATAGAAGAAATATAGCCAAATGGAGTTTCCAAATAATTAAAGAAATTTTTTTCTTTTTTCTTGTACTATTTAAGCGAAACTTGTTCGATTAAATAAATTGGGTTTCTTTATTTTAATTTTTCAAAAAATATTTATCATTTACCTAATTCACCATTCATCTTCATATTATATGCAAGTGAACACTTCGGGTCTGAGATGATTTTTTTTAACTAACACGTTTTATTTGTATGATACCACTTAAGAGAATGAGCGTTGTAACGAGAAAGTTAAAGATTGTAAACAGTGAAGGCGAATATAGACGATTACATAAGGTATTTAAGTAAGGCCGGTGCTGTAGTGACAGCGATGTAGCTTTGTGTTCGTGGCCCAGATGTGCGCCTGTAGTACTTAATGCAGTTTCAAAATTGAGTCTGTAGCGGTAGCAATCACAGAACACAAGATATTTGATAGATGCTTGAATCTCGCTTACGACATTTTTAAACGAAGCTTGCATATATACAAGTTCTGAACAACATCACAGGGACCGTCAGTCTACCGAGCAATATCGCCCGCACGGTGGAAGATCTTCCCTTTGTCGTATATAGCCCTACAAGTCCATACCACTGTTTCGTCAAGTCTCCTCAGTCATGATGTACACGTTGGCAGGCTGTTGCCAAAATTATCAACACCATGATAGTTGAGAGAAGCCATATATTACACCAAGGAGGGGAAGAAGTCGACCGAAGAAGACATGGAGTGATAAATGACGATATGAGAGAGAGAGAGAGAGACAGGGAGTGAGTGTTGAGATGACGGCTGATAGAAGAGAATGGAATAGAAAAATTCGCTGACCCCACTTAGTGAATAAGGTGGAGATATAGAAGAAAATACACCGAACTTCCGCAAGCTAGTGTAAAGATATACATCGCTAATTTAGTGTAGCACTAACGAACTCTCATCATTACAAACTCGTTTTAAAGTATAATCCTTGCTGATATCGAGTGTTTGAGTAGTCTGAGCATTTTAATTATCCCCTTTATGACTGTTAAAAACACAAAATTATTATCTTAATTTAATTCGTTTAACTTTTTCTCCGAGATTATAATAATATGTTAGGTAGAGCTTTCAATTATCCCCGTTTGAAAAAGTACAATCGAATTAAACATAGGAGATACATTGTTTGTTTTTCTATATCGGCAACATTAGCCTCCAACGGTAACTGTAGCTTACGGACGACCTACTCAGAGACATGAAACAGCGTCATGACTTGACCGACATCTTACAGAAATACCTAACTTTTAAAATCGGGACATCTGATTGGTCAACAACAGTAGCAAGGATGTAGCTAGCTGATATCGATTAATAATTAATCGATTTTCATATTTATGTTTATGTCTACACTAATGTTTTATTTGAATGTTTATGGGTGGAATTTCTCAAAATGTATATGTAATGTAGTAATAGTAAATACCACAATATACTCGCGTCTTCTTGATTTCACGTACAAATCGATTGGTAGTTTACGAACAAGATAGTGACATACCTAAGCGTGGCTGTATTCCCAGAAAAATGCAACGTATTTCAATATTTCTAAATTACAAAATTGAACGCGAATAAAACCGAGGGGCACAACCAATCTTAACTAAAGACATCAGGGTCTTCCCCTTATCCTAATTTCCAACCCTAATCCTTCAAGGCTTTGTAGTATGAAGCTCATTAATTTAATGTTAAAATTTAATAAAATCAATACATAACCCATAATAATCTAAAATAACGGCTATCCTCTGGCATAGCAGTTTCGGTACGGAGCTTGCAACGAAATCCAGCCAAAACATTATCCAACATATATCAAAAGCCAAAGTAAGTCTGACAATCGTCGTTTTTTCTTCTTCTTCGTCGCTTTCTTCATTACTGAAGGTCGTGTCCTTGAAACTTGACCGTGCCCTGTCTCTTGAGCTGTTTCCACCTCGTCCAGCCCTCAGCTTCTCGTAAGGCGGTTGATACGGTTGCTGGCTTGGCAGCCCAGTTACAGTGGTTATTTGGTCCAGCGGCTAGGTGATCAGCCGCGTGGTCTCTTTCGTCGTTTTTTACTTTATCCCAAAATCATCTAAGATATATATTATACGTTTTACTTTTTTAGAAACTCAAACGACCCTTAGAAACGCGTAAAGAATACACGCACCATACGTTTTACAACGACACCGATAAGACGAAATCCTCCCGGTAACGTGGTACTACAAGCAGTGGCGCGTAATGTAATCATAGTAAAAACGAAGGAGACAGAGGTTGTGCGTGCCGCTCACTGCAAGACACATTTATGGAGACGAGATAGGTACGTTTCATTGTATCCTCTTAGTTTTGTTTGCACGGGTAGGTAGCTGAGCCGGCTGTAAACTCTTCTGTTTATTTACGCATAATTGAGGGTATGTTTATTGACGCAACATGAAAATATCAATATCCACTCTGATAGCGTCAAAAAAATATTAGTTTGTTTCATTGTGGACCAGTATTTAGCTTGAAGATAGATAGATAGATATATACGCTATGACCATCATGTTTCACTTCCACGGATCCTTACGTACTGTAGAAATCTTCAGACAAAAGAAACACACTTATATACTTTCGCAAGTTTTGTATTGTAGCCAAATGTCAAGGTGGTATTTCTAAAATGTTTAATGTTAGATTTGCACCTAGAGAAGATGACACTCATAACTTGTTCCCTGAGCAGCAATTGTCGGTGCAACAATAGTCAGTCAGTAAGTACATACAGTCGGCATCAATGTGCCACTTTGAGAAGGCGGCACAACACGAAAACCCTCTTGTCGTGGCCGCCGGAAATTACATACTGTGCTGTGAGCTCGTCCACCCATCTAAGCAATAAAAAAAAATAAAAAATCATGTCATGCAAGTGGTCGCCCATAAAATTCATGCCTATGCATCGATCCTGTGGACCGAATGGCAAACAGTCGACGTCGCCCTAAACACGTCATTACGGATCCTGTCAATCCATTATCGGTGCTTTTAAGTACCTCAAGCAAGGGCTCGGCAAAAAAATTAACCCACACCCACATTAATAGACACAGCCCACTGAGTTTCGTGCCGGATCTTCTCAGTGGATCGCGTTTCCGATCTGGTGGTAGATTCTACGAAACACTGCTCCTGCAAGGACCAGTGTTAGCAACACCTCCGGTTTTCACGCTAGAGTAACGCTGATGTAGCCTGTCAAGGCTATCAGCATAGGTAGGAAAAAAAAGAAACAAGAACCAAGTCTTCAATTGGTCAATTTGTTGTGCGCAATTTGTTTATATTGTGAAGAAAAATTTAACAGTTTACGGTAGGTGACACCAGGTGTCAACATTTAAGTTTAGCTTCTACCTCTTCTGATAATTTATAAGTATGGTAGGTAATAAATAGGGGTTAAAGTATGAAATTACCGTTTTATTGTAATAGGTACTTCGAATTGACATAGAACCTTCAAGGGTTGAGATTTTTTAGTGAAACTTTTTTCAAATGATACTTATGAGGTTCTTCTTTTAAAAAATGTGCAACATTCGATTATTGACTTTCAGTTGTTTTTTTTTTTATTCAGCTTAGACAAGAAAGATGGATACTTCGAAAATTTAAGTGATTTTTGAATCCGAGTTCCGATGTAGAACTAACGCCGCAAAAACAGCTCGCAATATCAATGTGGCGTTTGGAGAGGGGACTGCTAATGAACGTGCGATTTAGGTTTAAGCGCTTTCGCGTCGAAATTTTGATTTAAAGAACGAACCACGTGGAAGACCGCCCACACATGTGTATAACAATGAATTGAAAGAGATGGTGGAAGCCGATCGGAGCCAAACCACCCTAGAATTAGCAGGCATGGTTTAACGTTATCTTACCAACAATATTGACACATTTGCGTCAAATCAATAAAATAAAAACAAATGAAAAATGTATGCCTCATGATTTGACTGATCTGCAGAAAGAAACGCGTGTTGAAACTTGTGTTGCCTTGTCGAATCGATACAGAAATGAATCTTGGATCGAACGAACCCACTGGATCCAACTGGAAAAATGTGTAACAAAATACAGTACTAGCTAATGTTTCATTTCTGTTTGCAAATGATTATCTTGTCGCGTAAACCGCATTATCATTCCGCGACACAGACGAACTTTACAGCCCGGTGAGGTTAATAACAAAACTACAATGTAATTTTATTAACGAAATTAAATGTTTTCTTAAATCTTAAACTCATAATCGTATTTTACGACGCTCTTTATGAGTTGTTAACATAAAGAAATTTTAGATAGGCAAGTTTATAGTTGTATATAATAAGGCAGTGTTGCCCTTGGATGTTAAGGCCGAAATTTCTTGAGTGGAGGTCAGTTGAGGTCATTTGCAGAGTGGGATTAAGCACGTTATGGTAGATAGCGGCTGAGCTCTGTCCCTGGCATTGCTGATGTCCATGGGCGACGGTGATTACTTACAATCAAGTGGGCCGTAAGCTAGTCTGCCCACAAGGGCCATAAAAAACCACTTGCGTGCTATTCGCTACAAACGTGGTCACGAATCTCCGATATGATAAACTATGATTGAAATATTAGGGGTTAAGGTATGAAATTGTCCATTTGTACTGAGAAATTGAAATTCTTTTTTTTTCATTTGACATAGTTATTTAATCAAAATATCTAATCGAAATATTATCTATACATTGCTTTGCGATAGAACTCTGGTGATCTAGATTCTACAAACTGTGTGAAAGCATTTTGTACGGCCGTTTTTTTTCGGGTAGGAGGCCGAACCTCCTACGAGGTCCCCGCGCAATAGGGGCGCGCGGGGTATGTGGGACTCAACGATCTGCATGGTGATGTGAGCAGACCGCGGGCCCAAGGATTTTAGGGCCCACCCACTAAACGACTCCCCTGCACTCTTACACCCGACGTCCGATCCCCTCCGAAGTCAGAACCCGGATGAGGTAGGGGGATTACCGCGGTGAACACTACGACCAGACGGCGCGGCTCACCTCAAGGACGCCCAGCCGACGGAGCCTTCGAGGCGAATCAAGGGCTCTGAAACGTCAGCCGTCTCGGTACGGCAGCCCGTCAGGCCGCCCAGACGGTGCCGCTGGTGTCCCGGAATACCCCGCTGGACCAAAACGAGCCTGCCGGGCCGGGACGCGATACACGGACGACCGGTCGCTCTATTACTCCACGGCAGCGCGCTAGTGCTGGTAGCGCGCCGCGCGGCCTCTACCCCCTCAGGTCGCCCCTTGATCTTGACCGGGGGATTACTGGGAAGAAATTTTTTTTATCACGTAGAAAATTGTCCAAATCACGAAAAATATGGTAGTCGGTTGGAGCAAGGTCTATCAAATACGGAGGGTGAAGAATGGTTTCTAATTGCAGTTCCTGTAGAGTTAAAACGGTTTCTCGTGCTGTATGAGCTCTCGCGTTATCATAGAGCAATAATGGTGAAGATCAATTCATGAGTCGGGGCTGTTTCACTGCAAGTTTTGCTATCATTATACAGAGTTTGGCACAGTAGACATCTGCCGTTATTGCTTGACCAGATCGGAGAAAGCTATAGTGAATAACACCATGCTGAGATCAGAAAACAGTTACCATTACCTTTTTATTGGTAAGCTTTGCTTTAGGACACTGTTACGGCGTTTGACCTGGGGTCAGCCATTGCATTTTTCGCTTACGGTTATCGTAAAGAATCCACTTTTCATCACATGTCACAATTCGATCCAATATTCCTTCACTTCTGTATCGATTCAACAAGGCAACACAAGTTTCAACATGCGTTTCTTTCTCAAGATCAGTCAAATCATGAGGCACCCATTTTTCATATTTATTTAATTTTATTGATTTGACGTAAATGAGTCAATATTGTTAGTAAGGTAATGTTAAACCATGCCTGCTAATTCTAGGGTAGTTTGGTTCCGATCGGCTTCCACCATCTCTTTCAATTCATTGTTATTCACATGTGTGGCCGGTCTTCCACGTGGTTCGTTCTTGAAATCAAAATTGCCATCAGGAAAGCGCTTAAACCTAAATCGCACGCTATTTATATTATTCATAATTGCATTCATTTCTAAAATAAAATACACTCTTTAGTGCCTACAAATTATTTTACTTTCTGTTTACAATTAACGATGGATTATAAATAATAGTTATTTTCAGTGTTATACTAAAATTTACATCATCACAATCATTTTATATTTTTGGTATGAGTGATTCTTATCAAGCAAGACAAGAGATATTCCAGAACTTTATGTAAATCAAGCAAGGAACAAGTTTTTATTTCCACTAATGTATTAATCTTTATGTTTTCACATAATAATACTAATAAATTGCTTCAAATCAATTAAATAAGATAACAACAAATTGATGCTAGAATAATATTAATCTGTTTCGTTCTGTTATTGATTTTATGGAAGTTTTTGTTTATTTATTGCACTCAAAGCTTCCAATCTTCCAACAAAAATGAGTAAGATGTAAGAGCCTACCTGTAGTTTGAAAGTAATTAGAAATTAAATCAATATCCAAAATTGTGGCACCCTAAAAATACTTGAAATTAGCTTTTGTTTAGTGTACTGTTTTGTTGGACTTGTTTTTGTATGTTTGGATTGGAGTTTGATTCCTAGTCTGAGTCTGAGTGACCTTCCTCAGACTATTTGGTGCTTGGATTGTGATCCATAACACATATGTATATAATACAGGAACATGTTTACTCAATCAACATTTAATTTACACAACATACAACTTATGTATGTAGATTATATAAGTTACTAAGTGTTGGCCGAGTCTAACACTAAGCAACTTCTAATGACTTTTAATGTAAAACTTATTAAATGATCAAAATATTACAATTACAAGCTTTTAATTTTCTTAAAATTGCGGAATATATTGGTTTAGGTTTTCTTTTTAATTAATATTTTAATCCCTGAAAACACTTCAGGTCTGCAATAGGTACTTAAAATCAATAAAAAACCAGTTAAAATACATTACATATATACAGCAATTTATAAAATATCCATTTATTAATGTTTGTCTCTTACAGAACACATGCTAACGTGCTTAAACATCTTATATTTGGCATTTATGTCGGATTTCCTAATATCATGAACTAGGCCAGCTAAAATTCTATTCGAAATATTTTGTTGATAATTTTACATGAACTCACCCAATAAAGGGCGTCTTGGATCGTTGAGGTCCATTTCCTGTTAGTTGCTACGATTTTTAAGTCATACGGTCAGTTGTTATCTATTATTTATGATAAAGCAAATATATTGTTTGCTTAATATCATATTGAACTTAGGTCTATGATTGAACTTTATACGTTTGTTTTGATAAACATACAATTTGTTTTCTGTCAAACTGACAGTGACAGATGACAATACTGTTACTAATTCAATGAAAGAGAAAATCCGTTCATGAATCAGAAATGTTTTGTTTTTAATTAAAGACTCAGTGAAAAAACTGTGTATCTTTAATACTTACGGGGAATGTTTTGGAACTTAGCGTATGGTTTTGGTGACAGCGTTGATTCTTCTTCTACGATTCGTGTCTGCGAGCGACAGCGAACCACTGAAGTAGGTCTATGCAGCGATGATGCACACATGATGACACATTAGGATCGCTCAATACGAATGCACCGGGTGACTTTTCCTTTAGGCCAAAATGATTTTAAATAAAATATTTAAAAAAAATCAATTAAAAATAATATACGACGACAATATGAGAGAGAGGGAGAGAAATGAGTGTTGAGATGACGGCTGCTAGAAGAGAATGGAAGAGAAAACTTAGCTGTGCCGATCCCACCTAGTAAGATAAGGTTGAGAAAAAGAAGAAAAATAATAAACTCTCTGTTAATAACATATAAACTTTTTTTTCGTTATTGAAATTTAATATATACCTTTAAATATTTAAAGATGTAAAATAAAACAATCAAAGCATGAAGATATTCCATATATACGAGGAGTGTTCAATAAATAATGATAATGCAATACATTTTTCTTGGAGAGAAAAAAAACTGGGAGGCACAGTCCTTTTTTTTAACGCTGGGGAATCCATTTACGGATACCCGGTCGAGGGGGGTAACGGACCGGGTTATGTCAGACTCCGGCGCCTCCTAAGAGGAAGAAGGGGAGAAGTGAAGGGCCGAGGTCCTCCACCTCCCCCAATTTCTCACAGGAGACTACGCCTTGAAAAAGGCGCGCGGAAGCACTTGCCCCGCAGAACGACTACTGACTAAACCCCATCGAGCTCCACCACACCGACTACACGAAACTTACGGTACCGCAGTGCGCGCCGAAAGTCTCGCCTTAGCCGATACCCGTACTAATGTTAAGACGGGATCTCATCCCCGGGAAAATCCCGAAGAACCTCGTCTCGGGAGAAACACCGTGAGCGGCGCACAGGAGCCACCTTGCACCGCTTCACCACCGGACCAACATTCGATAGTCCCTACGAGGGCTGATGTGAAGGGAGGCACAGTCCTGCCATTAGACATAATAAATATTAATAATATTGTTACGCTGGCAAGAGTAACGCCATCTATCGTCGAATGGCAGAAACGAATATCAAAAGAACTTATTAAATCGAGAACGCTCGAGAAATACAGCCGTCATTAGAAATATTCTCGATAATTCTAGGGATATCGTATCGACTGTAATACAAAAGCGTGCAGTGATGACACGGAGTTAGTAATCGAATCTACTCGAAGCGAAAAAGCGAACGGATCACCTGAAGCAAAGAGAAAGAAGCGAAGCACGACTTGTAAAGTGTTTTAAGTTTTAAATAGAGTTTTAATTTGTACTTCGGTGGAAGTTTTATTTATCCCGAACCCTCCGATCAATAATGTGATCGAAGCCCGAACCCCAGCGCATAACAATATTAATAATAAAAACAATTCTCTTTTGCTTCTTACAAATAAAAATTACTCAACAAATGTTCACGATTGTCTTCCACGGTGAAGGAATAGCATCGTGTAATAAAAATCAAACCCGAAAAATACTGAGACCGTAGAACTTATATCTCGAGTTGGGTGGCGCATTTACGTTGTAGATGTCTATGGGCTCACCACTTAATACCAGGTGGGCCGTGAGCACGTTCACCCATCTAAGCAACCAAAAAAAATTGCGTCATGTCGGAACTTGTTCTTAAAAATAGATAAAACTGAAGTTTGCGCGGTAATATTTTTTTACTGGTGGTATGACCTCTTGTGAGTCCGCGCGGGTGGGTACCACCACCCTGCCTATTTCTGCCGTGAAGCAGTAATGCGTTTCGGTTTGAAGGGTGGGGCAGCCGTTGTAACTATACTTGAGACCTTAGAACTTGTATCTCAAGGTGGGTGGCGCATTTACGTCTATGGGCTCCAGTAACCACTTAACACCAGGTGGGCTGTGAGCTCGTCCACCCATCTAAGTAATAAAAAAAATATAATAATAATAATAAAGTATCTATACTTGAAAAAATTAACTACGAGATTGATTTATTGAGAAGGTAAGTCAAGACTTGAGAACAACATTAGGGTTCATGCTTCTCAATATTCTACGGTTGCGCGTTGGTATTCTGAGTTCATGCGAGGAAGAACTTCCGAACGACAACTCTCGCAAGGACGCCTTGCAACCGTAATAACTGAACGAATCATTAAAAAGTTGAAAACATTATCTTGGTGGATCATCGCGTTACTGTTTCTTTTATAGCAGAAGAAATGAACATTTATAAAGGAAATGTCCATAATATTATTATACTTACACAATCATTTGGGTATGAAAAAACTGTCAGAGCATTGGGTGCCAAGAATGCTTTTTGACACGCAAAAACAAAACGAGGCAGAGAATTTCGGAAAGCTGTTTGGGTTTGTTACAACCACGGAATAGATTCTATTCCGTGTGTTCGCCCAAGTAGTCCGTAGCGCACTAAACGCGGTGAATGAAAGAATCGGTCGAGCTATGATTGTAGAATCATAACTGTGGCACGCTTGCCCCGCCTACATTACCATTCCAACCTTATTTATCTATTCCGTGGTTACAACAGAATCTTAATCGATTTCTGGCTTTATTCATAACTGTGGACGAAACATGGCTCATCCAAAACAAACCTCTTCCAAGTCATGGACCGTTTTTTCCATTAGAGATGACTCCAACTCCGAAAAAATTTAAGTAAAGCGATTCCATCCGCCGGTACAATTATTGACGGTTTATTATAGAACAACCAAGGGGTAGCCACTATTACCGGGACTTTGTACGCTGAATATTGAATGAATGCGGTAAATATTTAAAAAAAATATAATACTAGAAATAAAAATTAAAAAAAAGACAGGCCTACTGAGTTTCTTGCCACTTCTCAGGACGGAGGCTAGTTTTTGTGAATTGGCGGTAGTTCTTTTTGACGTTCAACAAGTATGTACTTACATTTTTTTTTTTTTTTGATTTGTTGGACAACAAAGTTGCGTTACGAAATACGTAAGCAACGGCGTGACAAACTCGATTTTTTTTTTTTTCTCCAAGATAACGCCCTCGTGCACAAGTCCAGAGTTGCGATGGCTGCCATTCAAGAAATCGGCTCCGAATTGATGTACTATCCTCCATATTCACCAGACCTAGTTTCTATTTTTTTATACCTATGCTGATAGCCTTGGGAGGCTATTTCAGCTTCACACTAACGTGTGTAGGTGAGCTCACGGGGCTCAATCCGGAGTGTTGCTAACACTGATCCTAGCAAGAGCAGTGTTTCACAGAATCTACCACAGGATCGGAAACGCGACCCACTGAGAAGATCCGGCGAGAAACTCAGTGGTTTTCTAGTGATGTCTTCCTATTTATTCGTTTCAAAGAACATCTCAAAGGTTATGAATTTGAAGATGATACTTAGCACAGTAGTCACCGCATTACACGATTTTTTAAGGAATCAGGAAGAAGATTTTTCTTAAATGGAATTTAAGCTTTAGAAGAAAGATAAACAAAGCGTGTAAACGTAAAAGATGACTTCATCGAAAAATAATATAACATTTAATAAAAGATAATTGCATCATAATCTTTATCACTTTTTACTGAACCTCCCTAGTACATATTATAAAGTACTTAAAGTATTATTTATTGCATTCCAAACAAAATAATTATTAAATCAAAATCACTACAACAATCACGAAGGGCTTTTTACACAAATGTTTCGAAAAAAAATTACAAATTTCGGTACTTATTGTCGAGAATACTAAAATAAGAATATTAACATACAAACATGTACACAAGAAACATATACCAATCCGATTAATAAAATTTAAATAACTAACTATTCATTCCTAGGACATTTGAAACCTTTATTATTTCATCTAAATATTAACTTTGCTTATACAGCAATTTTATTTATAACCTCTCTTCAAAGGTCAATTTCATTATTTAAACTTCGACATCAAATCTATTAAAATCAAGTCAAATTCATTATCGACCAACTTATTTATATTAAAAGTAGGTAATAGATTAAAACGTCATAATATGTTTTGCAGTTCGTGCGGAAAATTTTATTTAATCTTTGTAAATAAACGGAAACTTCTGGAAACATTATGCAAGCTTCCGATACTATGTTAAATGCTTGTTTGTTATTTTAAAATTTAAATGAGAGCATCAATCTCCACGATACCGTGTTGTATGCCTAAAGTTAGCTGAGAGGTAGACACTGAATATTTACTGGGTGCCGAAATTGTTTGACAAAATTTTTGTTGTATAAAAATTGTTATAAGATTTACACGCTAAGCGATACAGCTCGAGAAGTTTTTTTTCAAATAACAGATACTACATGTTTTGTCTGGGTAGGTACCGGATACTTGCGTATATGTCTCGGTGTTCTAGTTTTGAGCTGATTCCTACATTTTTAGGCGATACTTAGTCACCGTTATAGTTAAATGTGCCCATGATCTGTAAGCGGAGTAAAATGTCCCTTCGGAACAAGGTGACACTTTACAAAACTTGCATAAGGCCCGTCATGACTTACGCGAGTGTGGTGTTCGCTCACGCGGCCCGCACACACATAGACACCCTTCAATCCCTACAATCCCGCTTTTGCAGGTTAGCTGTTGGGGCTCCGTGGTTCGTGAGGAACGTTGACCTACACGACGACCTGGGCCTCGAATCAATTCGGAAATACATGAAGTCAGCGTCGGAACGATACTTCGATAAGGCTATGCGTCATAATAATCGCCTTATCGTTGCCGCCGCTGACTACTCCCCGAACCCTGATCATGCAGGAGCCAGTCACCGTCGACGCCCTAGACACGTCCTTACGGATCCATCAGATCCAATAACCTTTGCATTAGATGCCTTCAGCTCTAATACTAGGGGCAGGCTTAGGGACCCCGGTAACCGTACTCGTCGAACTCGACAAAGAAGTCGACGTGCAACCTAACCCATGCATCAGCCCGCTGAGTTTCTCGCCGGATCTTCTCAGCGGGTCGCGATTCCGATCCGGCAGTAGATTCATTCGCGAAACAATTGCTCTTGAGTTGTTAGGTCTCCTTCGGAGGCGCTCGGGCAGTTGTTAGCAAATCCCACCCCTCTTGGCTGAGCCTTTGCTCGCCCACCTGTCCTGGTGAAACTGGAAAGGCCTTCGGGCCACCAGTAAACTTTCAATCATAAGAAAAGTTAAATGTGATAACCCAATTCCAGTAACAACTTTTTAGTTCCAAAATGGCCGCTAATGCCACTCTTAGTACATAGAAATTGAAACCTATCATGTTTATTGATAATCAGAAGACTTCAATTGTAAGAAAATTGTTTAAAACGATTACATCTGTTTAAACAGTGAGAGCTATAGAAAAATGAACTTATCATAATCTTTCACTTCAAAAATTTCAAGCGTTTATATTAAAAACAAGCGGCCTGCTCCGGCTCCGCTCGGGTCTTTACCAAAAATTTCAACGATATTTAAGGTTTTTTTTTTAATAAAACTTTTTGCTGCATAACTATAATAGTGAGACATAATAATATGCTGTCGCGATACATTTTGTAAATAATAATGTGTTCTACAAAGCCGTAGTAGGTACATTATTTTGTTCTATGATCAATCGTTTTTGCAGAGCACGCGATGTAAAGAATATTATAGGTATTTTTATACACCTTGGGTTACATTATTTGAGTTTTAGTAAGGATCCCTAATTTAAAAAAAAAAAATATATATCCTATGTCACTCGGGAATAGTGTAGCTTCCAAACAGTGAAAGAATTTTTCAAATCGGTTCAGTAGTTTCGGAGCCTATTCAATACAAACAAACAAACAAATCTTTCCTCTTTATAATATTAGTATACATTATAATATTAGTATAGATAGAAAACAATGATGTCATATCATTAACGGTATCCATTGGCTAAGAGAACTGAGAATAATGTAATAATTAATATTTAACTATACTATAAAAGTCTTAGGGTAATTATTGATAATTCTATGAGCTAAGTGTGTTGATCAACCTAAGGTAAATAGCACAGTGGAAAATCTACAGACTAAAGAATTTTATAACGGCAACAACTGGGAAATATTTCAAATGACTTTAAACCCTATTCTAAATTATGTAAGGATCAAAACTAATCGGCTAATCGATTAAAATGTAAAAGGGGCGGTATGTTGCGTCATAGCTTCATGACCCTCAAATCTGGTAGGCAGTGGCTTGGCTCTGCCACTAGTATTGCTGACGTCCATGAGTAACCACTGGTGGTAGGACCTCTTGTGAGTCCGCGCGGGTAGGTACCACCGCCCTGCCTATTTCTGCCGTGAAGCAGTAATGTGTTTCGGTTTGAAGGATGGGGCAGCCGTTGTAACTATACTGAGACCTTAGAACTTATATCTCATAACGCATTTACGTCGTAGATGTGGTTGGGCTCCAATAACCACTTAACACCAGGTGGGCTGTGAGCTCGTCCACACATCTAAGCAATAAATAAAAAAAAAGAAATGAAAAAACCTGTCCAAGTGACTGAATGAAAAGTTTTGGTTTGAATTTGTTTCCAAGATTGAAGTCGTAAGCGAGGTTCAGGCATCTGTCAATTATCATTATGCATTTACAATATTTGTGTTCGAAATCTTTAAAAGAACCACTATTATTTTATTTTTGAAGTGAAAATTCTTTAGGCGCGTTTAGAGTTTACTGGTAGTAGGACCTCTTGTGAGGCCGCGCGGGTAGGTACCACCGCCCTGCCTATTTCTGCCGTGAAGCAGTAATGCGTTTCGGTTTGAAGCCGTTGTAACTATACTGGGATCTTAGAACTTATATCTCAAGGTGGGTGGCGCATTTACGTATTACGTATATATAATTTAAAAAAAATCACCATCAAGTGGTCTGCCTATACGGCAATAAAAAAAATCTTATCCATAACTAGCTTTTGCTCGCGACTCCGTCCGCGTGGAATAGTTACTTTGGCATAACGTTAAATTTTACCCGCACATCATTTACGTAGATATTTTTGAATTATAGAATGTTAAGGAGCTATTTAAACCCCTATTTTGAAACATTCTTTATTGGTGCTCCACTTGTACCTATTGGTCTTACCGTGATGTTATATAGCCTATAGCCTTTCTTAATAAATAGGTTATCTAACGCTAAATAATTTTTCAAATCGGACCAGTAGTTCCTGAGATTAGCGCGTTCAAACAAACAAACTCTTTAGCTTTATAATATTAGCATAGATTTTCTATAGTCTAGGTATATAGGGCCACAATATAACGTCAGAAGTGACTTAAAAGGATCGGTTGTTACAACATTCATAGCTGACGCAACAGGAGCTTACGATTGCGAGATATGGAGAGAGAGCTTTTTCGTAGATTAAAAAATGGTTTCAGTGGATGATGCAACCTAAACTAAGGTTATGTAATGAAAATTCACATAATTTGTGATCAAGGGAAGACGACTAGACTATATAGTGTTGTTAAATAAGTTACGATACTAATAATTTTATTGACATATTTCAATATGTAATCAAATTCAATTCAAAATGATTTATTTTCCAGAGACATGGTACATAATAATGGTATTATAAATTTTTAACATTCCAGCATGCTCTTACTTGAATAAAAAGTGTGCAAATATAAAATAAATATAGAATTAATTGAAGATTACTAACATGTCAATTTATAATAAAACATTCATAAATTATAGTCATAAAGAATTTAATTACATTCATAATCCATTAAAATCATAAAATAATAGACTAATCAATTATATATTGTTATCTTTTAAAAATTCACCAATATCATAATAACATTTCCTTAAAAAAAAAAAATATTTACATCGTTTTTCAATTGTCGATTCTCAAAGCAGTCTCAGAGCAATCTAATTGCATTTTGAAATGTTCTATTCCATGAGAGAATGTTCACGAAGGTCTGCAGTAGGGTTGCTAGAATTTTTTTCAGCCTATAAGTGCCAAATGCTTAAATTGGCGAAAAATATTGGTATTTTACCCGGGACAAATAAAAAACAAAATTATATAGTGACATTCTTTATTTTTTTTTATATTTCTCCGAGGAGCAAGTCAGTTTTAAGATATTTTTATCGGTTTTAACATATTTATAAAAATCAATACAATTATAATCGTACGGTTCGAATACGGGACTGAGTCAGTCCCGTCCTGTCCCGTCCCGGGAAATAAGGGACGCCTGGCAACCCTAGTCTGCAGCGAGAGCTTATAGTGCTGTAATCAGTGAGTTATAATGCAAGGCGACGGATTAGTTTCATCAGACACACACATCCAATTTCAAAAGAGCCCCCCGGAGCCCTTAGAGTTTACGTATCAATTAGTAAATAATTCATGGAACACTACAGTTCATTTTACACTAGACTGTCAACATAGTAGATATATTTATGAATAGAAATGTAGGACAGCCAGCCTACGTCTGTATTAAAACTCTTTGTATGTTATGCTTGCCTAGTACGTTATGTTAGTTAAGAATATTCTGTTAAACGGAAGGTTATTTAGTTAGTTACCTAATTAATTATTATTCAAAAAAATTATATTATTATTATTACATATTATATTTTTTTATTAATATTTAAAAAAAAAGTCCTAAGCGATTTATCCTCCAACTCAGTAGGTACATGCTTTTATAGAAATACTAAATCAACTAGTGTGTATTATTTTACGGATAAATAAACGTTGTTAAGATCTACATAATAATAAATAAATAAAACACTTGAATATCTTTGTCTCTGTTTGAACTCTTCTGACAATTTTTAATTATATCTTAAAAAAAATATGCAACCATGTTTTTCCCGCCCATACAGTAAAATATAAAAAATAAAATGAATTAGGTAAATCAATCAAAATCCAGAGGCATCACGTATACTCGTGTATCCGATTTTCTATCATTGGACGAAACCTAATCCAAATATTTTCTCCCGGTTACGATTTCAAAATAGGTCGGTTTTATAAATAAAAAAGCCAACTTTTTCATTTCAGCAAAATAAGCTTTTTAACTGTCATCAAGGACAATCGAGTTTACAGCCCACTCAATGGTGTGTGGTTTAGATCACCAAGTACACAGCGTTGCAGTTGCCCAAAAACTTACTACGTCTTTACCGTTTTATTGGTGGTATCTTACTGGTGGTAGGACCTCTTCTGAGTCCGCACGAGTAGGTACCACCGCCCCGCCTATTTCTGCCGTGAAGCAGTAATGCGTTTCGGTTTGAAGGGCGGGGCAGCCGTTGTAACTAGAACTTATAATAGAACTTATATCTTAGAACTTATATCTCAAGGTGGGTAACCACTTAACACCAGGTGGGCTGTGAGCTCGTCCACCCATCTAAGCAATAAAAAAACAACAACTAAGAACAACATTTTGAAGCAATCAAAACTACGTGTTCCATTCCATGCTCCTATCTGCCACAAGGGCGCTAGTGTAGGAGTTATAATAAAAAAATAAAAACAATAAAATGATCATAATTTTAAACTAGTTTTCTTCTAGAAAAGGTTTTAAATCCCTTTAAGAGTGCAGGCACATATTTAAACCACGTGTGTAGCGTTCCCTCGATCATTGGCAACTTGCCTCTCCGCCTGTACAGTTCACCCTACTTAGAAATTGTGAATGTATTTTCAATACAGTGGTTTCATTTATTAAGATAAAACTCAAGGTTGCGAAAATTACTTTAATCCTATCCGAATACAAAGTGAATACAGTATATTTCAGTTAGAAGTGACATTTGCCAGTAAAACTAAGGTTAGTACAACAATTTAATTGCAATATTTATCGATATTAGAAGTGTGAGATCAGTAAACGCATATAAGGGCGATCTTTTTCTGGTTTCATGCAAAAATCTCTTTTATATACAGGTTGGTGTATTTTTGATTATTTTTCGCCGCATTTCGTTCGACATAATAAATAATAATTTAAAAAAACTAAAAAATACGCTTTTATAGAAGCCTGGGGTGCTTTTCAGGATATTATTAAAATAACCCTTCTCATATCTGTTCATATAATATTTATAACTACTGATACCATGCACCCCACGCTTTTTTTTTACAATAAAACCATTTTTCTTAAACTAATTTAAATTCACATTTATTAAAATTTATTTTCTATTTTTTTGTTGGATTTTCTATAAAAGCGTATTTTGTTAGTTTTTTTAAACTTCTATTTATTTTTCATTTTGTAGTTGTATTTCAATTTTTTCAATTTTTTTTTAAATATTGAATTGTCATCGGTCCTTAATAAGTATACCAAATTTCGAGTTAATCCGACGTTTTGAAGGGGGTTAAAATCATGTTCAAAGATCCCGTTACATACATACGTCTGAAGCTAATAAAAGCGTATTAAAAAAATTACAAATTAATGTTATTAACGGGGGTAGGAAGTTATAGCCCGCTGAGATGTCTACCACTATCCTGCATATTTCTATCGCATTCCAATCTCAAGGATGGAACAGCATTTACGTAATACGCTCTTCCTCAAATATCAGTAGACCGGCAGTACTATGTGTGCTTAGTGCGAGTTTTTTAACGATCTCGATAACGTAAAAGTTAACTCAAAATTGTATGCAGTTGGAACAGCGCCCCTGGCGGCAAACGTAGGCAAACGCAAACTGAAGGGATAAATCCCTTCAGTTTTTTAGGTCTAATATGGTGTATAGGCACATGACACTTTCATTCAATGTAAAAACTCAAAATTATTAAAAATGGTAGTTGATCTCTTCATCCACTCATGTCTTCAATTATTTGAATATGCAAAAGACAGACAGTATGTTATTTATTACCGATTCCTTATTCGAATTATCTTGAAGTTCACTGACCATTAAATACATCTAATTATTGTTAGTACATCATCTTTAATGGTGATTGATAACATTTTGTAATTAAATACAGTTTAAGTGCTATACTTTATTTTAATGGACTAAGTGTGAACGCATTATCCATCGATTGCGAAGTGTTTAACGGATCGACCCTGCAATATCTATATATAAAAAATGAATTGCTGTTCGTTAGTCTCGCTAAAACTCGAGAACGGCTGGACCGATTTGGCTAATTTTGGTCTTGAATTATTTGTGGAAGTCCAGAGATGGTTTAAAAGGTAGATAAATATGAAAATGCTCGGAATTAAATAAAAATAACAATTTTGTTTTTCCTTTGATTTCTCCCCCGTCGGATGAATTCCTTTTGTTTGTTTTAAGTTTATTTTATACAAAAGTTTAGGTCTTTTATTTCTCGATTGAGGCACTACGAAGCCTGCCGGGTCAGCTAGTAATAGATAAAAGTAGCATTTAAGATTGTTCATATTTCCGCTGGCGGACATTAAGGATAGGGAGGATTTGCTTCTTGTATTGTTCAGCGGACCACTAGTGAACATTTTGGTGTCTTAAAACATGACACTATTTGTAAGACAGGAGACTGTTAGAAACATAAATTTGTAAATGTTTTTGACGGGGCAGACGATTGAGTACAACTGAGACTTTTTTTATTGCCAATGTAGGCGGACGAGCATACGGCCCACCTGATGATGAGTTTTTACCGACGCCCATGGACTTTAGCAATGCCAGGGGCAGAGCCAAGCCGCTGCCTACAGCCAAGCCGCTACCTACCTTTAAAGTTAATGTCTCAATTTTGCTGGTTGCAATCATAATAAAGTATCAAAGGTTCTCAGTGATCATTTAACAGCAACTGGGCCGTCAGTTTGTTCGCCTATTTACTGCCTAAGCTCACACAATAAAAATAACAGTAGTATCAGTGGAACTTCATTATTCTTGGGTTCACACACACACGTATTATCATTCTCATACCAGTGAACCAAGTGTGATGTCAAGTCGTCGTGGCCTAAAGGATAAGATGCCCGGTGTATGTATTTGTATCGAGCGGTGCGACTGAGCCGATCTTCAAATCCCGCAGGCAGGTAATTTTTTTTTAAATTAAGTATGTACTAAGCATTGGTACATATTATTATGCACTAAGGAAAACGTGGTTTGTTCGCAAAGACTTAATAAAAAAACTTCAAGTGTTTGTGAATAAATGCCTGCATCAAATTTTGAAAATCTGTTGACCTGAGACGATCGTTAACAAAGAGCTGTGGAGCATCGCCAAACAGAAGGAGATTCTTACGCGAAAGTGGAATTGGATTGGTCATACATTAAGAAAGCCCTATACCCACCTATTCAAGAGAGCACTGACCTGGCAATGTCTGGCAAGAGGAAGAGAGACCGTCCCAGAACAACTTGGCGTCGCTCGGTGGAGAGAGAAATGGGCGTCTTAGGCATGACGTGGGAGGAGCCCACACTCTGCCCAAGACCGATGTAAATGGAAGGATTTGATCCGAGCCCTAAACCCCAGCAGAGGGTAATAGGAAAGAAAGAAGAAGAAGATGTACTAAGCATAAAATTCACAAATGACTTCCACGATGAAATGTAATAAAAATAAAAGCCACAAAAATTATAACTTGCGTGATTACTGCTGGTAGGGCGTAGTATGAGTCCGCACGAATAGGTACCACCGCCCCGCCTATTTCAGTCGCGAAGCCCTAGTTCGTTTTAACTTGAATGTCTTAATACGTTGTTAATGTTTATCCGGTAACCAATTAATACCAGGCGGGACGTGAGCTCGTTTACCAGTCTCAGATTAAAAATATATATATTTATTACATACTAGCTGACCCGGCAGACTTCGTAGTACCTCAATCGATAAATAAAGGACCTAAACTTTTGTATAAAGTAAAAATCAAAGAAAAACAAAATTGTTATTTTTATTTAATTCCGAGCATTTTCATATTTATCTACCTTTTAAACCTTCTCTGGACTTTCACAAATAATTGAAGACCAAAATTATCCAAATCGGTCCAGCCGTTCTCGAGTTTTAGCGAGACTAACGAACAGCAATTCATTTTTATATATACAGAATTTTACCCGGCCTAGTGGTTAGTGATTCTAATCAATACGTTGAAGATCATTGTTGTTTGGTCTTTTGTTCGTATGTGTGTCGGATATACACAGACAACCATTCCAACTTGTGGCCGCCGAACGTTGAATGTTTTATCTATTTAATTTCTATTCGTTAATAGCGTTGGTGCAGACGAGACCCGGCCGCATCTTATCACACTGTAATTGATTAGTCTGTTTGTTTTTGTATCTCGTTTATCGACACGCGTCTATATCGATAATTGAACTTCACTACAGGAAATTTTATCACCAGGCCGTGAGCCCGTGATTTTACTAGCTCCGTGTTTCAGTGGTTGGCGCTCCTTACAGCTGATTCCGAGGACCGCGGGTTCGATTACCACGTCAATTACGTTGGCTCATTTTATGGGTGTTTAATAATTTTATATACGCTCATATAAGTGGATATCAGTTTCCTGTTCCCATAATACAGGGAATTCCAGTTAGGGGCTAAATGATTCTGTCATCTATACTAAAATATAAATCTACAGTGGTTTTTACGGATGTTCCGTTATAACTACTGAACCATGAATCCGATTGACTTGAAACTTGGTATACATGTAGAAAATACATGTACTTAATGGATAGGCTAATATTTATATGAGTGTTGGACTCCCTACACCAGTTGCGGGGGCGTTAATGATGAGAATCTTTGTTGGGGTGAGAAATAATAATGTTAATTTTAAATGCCCAGCGAAGCGGACGGGTACAGCTAGTTTGTTATATTATTATTTCAATGAGGTAATATTGACAGCTCGCAAGGAATCAAACCATCCGTCATATGTTCCGATTTGAAGAATGGAACGGCGGTTACATAATTAAAATTTTGACCTCTAGTCCTAAAGTGGCATTCACATTTTGATGTCCGGTTGATTTTTCGGTTGCCGTAAGCCGGAAACCGAATAAAAACAGGATATTAATATATCCACCATTCAGCTGAAGAGCCTGCCTTAAAATACTAGTTGCTATACTTAGAATAAAAATAACTGATGAAGGAACCTGTATATTAATCAGATGTACCTACTTTTAATTTAAACCAAATAAGGGCAATTCGGTTAAGCAACGTATTTATTGGTTCGAACAAACAAGGCAAGATGTATCTTACTTCCGTTTACATCCGGAAACGTCGCCAATGAATATGACTGTGTATAAATTCCACTATTTCTCGTCGCGTAAGACGTTCAGACAATTGAAAAAAACGCCCGCAAACAAAATCGAATTAAAGCCATTTACGGCTCAATTCTTTTCGACGTTTTGAATACTCAGTATATATAATATAGGATAGCTGACGATAATGAGCTTTAATGCTTTTAACGCATGCGATATGGGCCGACGAGTTCAGGGTTCAACGGCTACCTGAGCTGATAAGCACCACCGCCCATCCTACGACATCATTTGAAGGACTCAATATTTTACAAGGACTACCCTACCATTCAGGAGATAGAAGTGTGGTGACACCTCGTGCGAGTGGTTAAGGGAAATTAAGGTCTGGTCAGGAAGAGTTCGGAAACGCGAAGGCAATTTAGGACAGGGTATTGTTACTATTACGCCGGTAAGAGCAACGCCATCTATTGTCGAATAGCAGAAACGAATATCAAAAGAACTAGTAAAACCGCGAACACTCGACAAGTACAACGCCATCTATTATCAAATAGCGGAATCACATATCTGACCTTTCCGAGAATGTTCTCCATAATTCTAGGGATGTCGTATCGACTATCAAAACGTTGCAGAGATGACACGGAAGCAGTTAGTAATCGGAACTACTCGAAGCGAAACAGCGAACGGATCACCTGAAGCGAAGCGGAAGAAGCTAATTACGAATTGTTAAGTGCTCTAAGTGTTAAATAGAGTTTCAATTTATACTTCGGTAGAATTTTTATTCATCCCGAATCTATAGAAGTAGCCAGTGTTGCCGTCCAATATTCAATTATAAACAGTCTAATAGAGAATAATCGCTGTGGAAGAGCCCACTGAGTTTCTCGCCGGATCTTCTCAGTGGGTCGCGTTTCCGATCAGGTGGTAGATTCTGCGAAGCACTGCCCTTGCTAGGGTTCATATTAGCAACATCGTCAGGTTTGAGCCCCGTGAGCTCACCTACTAGCCCGGTGACGATGATATGGTCTCTCAGACCATCAGCTTGGGTAGGAAAAAAAAAGATGTGTGGTATCGTGGGACACCGGATAGGAACGAAGTTCCTTATTATAAAAATATTAATTTTAACTTCCATTCGAGGTATAAAGAAAATAATTATTCGGGTATACATTTCTTTTGTGATTTTTTTATTGATAAAAAAAAACTACAAAGTTATCAACTTTATTTATTCACAATGATTTATAAAAAATATATAATAATAATAATATACAAAGCAACAGCTATTTATATGAATAATAATAATAACCGTCATCACGTAGACACTGTATAGCCATCATACTAAGACTATACATAAATAATAAAAATCTTACGTTACGGACGTTTTTTTGCCGGTTAGGGTACCCCTCTGCATCGTCCCATAAGGAACTTCGTTCCAAAAAGTTGTAGAAGCCTCTGATCTCAAATTAACCTTAAATTACAAATATTGTTCTCAGCTATGGTACGTGTCTGCGTCATCGGGGCTGGAGCGGCTGGCGTCTGCGCTGCTCGCCACCTCCTCGTGGAGCCCTGCGTGGACCATGTGGACATCTTCGAGCAGGCCAGTCAGCTGGGCGGGACGTGGGTGTACACTGAGAAAGTCGGCTATGATGACTTCGGCCTGCCCATTCACAGCAGCATGTATAAGAGTTTAAGGTAAAGAAATATGTACTTCATTTCATTCATTGTGCCCTAGTAGATTAAGATAGGCAGGCAGCGACTTGGCTCTGCCCCTGGCATTGCTGAAGTCCATTGGCGACGGTAACCACTCACCATCGGGTGGGCCATATGCTCGTCTGCCTACAAGGGCAATAAAAAAAAAAAACTTCTTTTAATGATACCAAGTACCTACTTATCAATTTAATTATCTTATCGTCTAATTTGGTCCGGTTAAATCATTCTAAGATTTCTGCATACGAAAAAGTTTTCACCCAAACAAAACGATCGTACCCTTCCATCTCCCCGGCGTGGCTTATAGAATTCAAGACTGGTGGGAACTTTTCTAAAGTAACTGTTGGGTGTAAAGGAAACTAAAAGTAAATACTTTTCGATTATATGGGCTCCTGGTATCACAGAACTGAAAACCCATTTTTTTATGTAGATTTCGACGATGTTGAAACATTTCGCCCCATTTTGTTACATCGTGGAGCAATACTGCAACCGATAAACGTTGCAAACGAAACACGCCTTATCTGTTTTCACCTAAAATCCACTCTCGGTAACGTTAGATACCGCTTGAGGTCGGAGGCTATCGGTTTTAACATCGCTACTTGTGTTCCCGCTTCTAGAAAATTATTGTGATTCGCCTCCTTACATTGATGGTGTCCTGGTAGTTAAAATAAATATTTATTTAGATGCGAACGCCTTTGACACAGGAGGTCGAAGTCTTTTTGACACCGGAGGTCCGAAGTCTTTTTTTATTATATTAGGCTACCTCACCCTCTGTGGCGGTATACGACAAGAGGAAGAACTTCCAGAGAGTGGGTGAAATTGCTCCATAGACCGTCGAATGTCGATCCATAGCGCTATGACATGTCCTTTTTCAAACGAGGCTTGTGGAGAGTACTTAACGGTAGGCAGCGGCTTGGCTCTGTCGGTAGCATTGTTGAAATCCATGGGTGACGGTAACTAATCATTATCAGGTGAGTCGAATGTTCGTCTGCATACAAGAGCAATAAAAAAATTGTTGTTCGAACTTGCTTATCTTGAAAATGTCGTAAGCGAGATCCAGGCAGCTGTCAAATATCTTGCGTTATATGATGGCTACCCGCTAAATCACTCCCCTCCCAGACCGGAGGTCGTGTCATTAAATAAGCGTTGGCCTTGCTGAGATTAGCCTGCAATGCAATGCGTATTGTTTTTAACAAATCACGCACGGTTATCCGGCTCCTATTTAGGATCCCCCGTGTTATGGATACCAGAGATTGAAAAACATACTTATATACGTTTTTTTTATTGTTAGATGGGTGCACGAGCTCACAGCCCACCTGGTCTTAAGTGGTTACTGGAGCCCATAGACATCTGTGACGTAAATGCGCCACCCACCTTGAGATATAAGTTCTTAGTTCTCAAGTATAGTTACAACGGCTGCCCCACCCTTCAAACCGAAACGGTAGAAATAGGCAGGGTGATGGTACCTACCCGCGCGGACTCACAAGAGGTCCTATCACCAGTAATTACACAAATTAAAAAATTGGCGGGTTTGATTTTTATTACACGATGTTTTTCCTTCATCTATACGAGCACTTTGAAAATTGAACAGACGGAACATGAGAGATATTGTCACATTAAAAAAAAACGGAAACCTTATTATGATTATCTCTTGTATTTATCCAAGTCTTTTATTAATCTATGGTGATTCCCTGTAATCTATGTTCTTGCCACCGTTCTATTTGTTACTACTCCGAAGCATTCGGGCACTATAACCATAGATAATACACTTAATATTTGACTATAACCTTTGCTCCGAAGGATGGCTCAGTCTTCGAACTTATCTCAATAATGCATTCATATTTTGGGGTCTATCTTGTGAGATGTACCCTAAACTTGACTTCTACGCTAAGATAAACAAACGCGCAGCGACCAGAATATTCTACCGCATTGCAGCCGATAAAGGCGAAATTAATCTCATTTCGAAGCGACCACATTCCAAATCCATCAGGAATGTATCCGTGTAAACCAAGGTTGGTTTTGTTTGTGTTCGCAATGTTTACTGCACATTAATTAACGTTTTATTTAATATAAACGATAAAAGGTCGCAAACATAGGGTCAACAATGTTTAAAAACATTCAATAAAGAATCGTGATATATAAATAACATTTTAATCTGTGTGATTAATGCGAGTTTCTTAACGTTCTCGATAGCGTAAAAGTTAAGTTAATTTTTTATGCAGTTGGAACAGCGCCCCTACCGGCAAACGTGCGCAATTTTTTTTTTTTCCTACCTAAGCTGATAGCCTTGAGAGGCTGTTTCAGCGTAACCTTAACTATATAGTATAGTAGTTATAGTAGGTGAGCTCGCGGTGCTCAATCCTGACGACGTTGCTAACACGAACCCTAGCAAGAGCCGTGCTTCGCAGAATCTACCACCGGATCGGAAACGCAACCCACTAAGAAGATCCAGCGAGAAACTCAGTGGGCCGTGTCTGAGGATTGCGTACGCAAACGATCCCGTTCCATACAAATATGAGCTAACTTTTACGCTATCGAGAACGTTAAAAAACTCGCACTAAGCACACTGATCATTGAATCGTCGTGGCGAAGCTTGAGGGAGGCTTGTGTCCAGGAGTGGTCGACTGAAAGATAGATAGATCATTGAATGCCGAGATGTTTTCTTATTAAGATAGAACTACCCCCAAGATTTCTACGATAAAAATTGCGTCGCGTTATACTTAAAACAATTGCATGAAATAAAATCTGTTTAACGCGAGAACAACAAAAGCGTCACAATCGAATGGAATGAATAAGATTTCGTATTATCTTCCTTTTTGCGTGAACCGTAGACACAATTAAAACTACTTGTACTTACGGTTTATTATTATCTTTTTATTATTTCCGACGCTTCGAATACTTTAAATCAAAATATATGTATACAATATATATACATATATATGAGAAATAATACAGTTCGTCACTCTTCAATCGTCCGTGACTACGAAAACTGAAGTATGTTATACGAAATGTTTGAATTTATTGAATTAATACAATACGAACGCAAGATTAAATCGTAAAAGTAATTTTATTTATAAGCTAGCGACCCGCCCTCGCTTCGCTTCGGAAACATTAAATTTTATTATTCATAGCTGAGCCCCGCGATGACGCCGCGGGGCTCAGCTAGTCTAAAAAAAGTAGCCTAAGTTACTCCATATANAACAACAAAAGCGTCACAATCGAATGGAATGAATAAGATTTCGTATTATCTTCCTTTTTGCGTGAACCGTAGACACAATTAAAACTACTTGTACTTACGGTTTATTATTATCTTTTTATTATTTCCGACGCTTCGAATACTTTAAATCAAAATATATGTATACAATATATATACATATATATGAGAAATAATACAGTTCGTCACTCTTCAATCGTCCGTGACTACGAAAACTGAAGTATGTTATACGAAATGTTTGAATTTATTGAATTAATACAATACGAACGCAAGATTAAATCGTAAAAGTAATTTTATTTATAAGCTAGCGACCCGCCCTCGCTTCGCTTCGGAAACATTAAATTTTATTATTCATAGCTGAGCCCCGCGATGACGCCGCGGGGCTCAGCTAGTCTAAAAAAAGTAGCCTAAGTTACTCCATATATCAACAGCTACCTATCAGTGAAAGTCTCATCAAGATCAGGAGAACAATCAAGAGATTAGAGGAACAAACAGACAGACAGACAAAAATTGTAAAAAATGTTATTCTGGAGTATGTACCGTATACTCGTATAATAATATATTCATAAGCATGTAGTAAAAAGTGGTTATTTCAATTCAACGGTTATTCCACGTTTGCCTACGTTTGCCGCTAGGGGCGCTGTTCCAACTGCATATAAATTTGAGTTAACTTGTACGCTATCGAAAACGTTAAAAAACTCGCACTGACCACATTGATCGCCATCAATTTGTTTTCAGGACAAATCTACCAAAAGAGATAATGGGATTTCCTGATTTTCCTGTACCGGAGAGCGAAAAGTCTTACTTGCCCGCGAAGGAGATGTTATCCTTCCTGCAACTGTACGCCGATAAGCATCAAGTTACGGATCGGATCAATGTAAGAACTACTCTAGTTACTACTCCGCAATGATCGTCTTCTTGCTATAAAACTCCCGGCCGTAAGCACGTTCATACTTGTCCGCTTCGACAGGCTGGAGACATCTAGTGCGTTGTTTCAAGCTATCTTTTTTTTTTTTATTGCCTTTGTAGGCAGACGAGCATACGGTCCACCTGATGGTGAGTGGTTACCGTCGCCCATGGACTTCAGGAATGCCAGGGGCAGAGCCAAGCCGCTGCCTACCACAGACCTACCTACCACCTACTATCACCTATCATCTCCGCTTTTAGTGTGCCTATCAATTGTAATTATAAATAATTACAATTATAATTACAATAATAATAATAAAAAAAACAAAATGTCTATCCAATTTTAATGTCTCAGCTGTGATTTAAAAAAATCGGTTGTCTGTAAAGTCGGTTTACCGACGATAGTTAAACGTAACAACGTCATAAGCAAAATCCTGATGGAATGGTTTTTTACTCATCATGAAATAGTTCTGTTAACTTATTGTTATAGTTTTGTCAATTATAGCATAACCTACAATCGTTGCACTAGCGGACCGATGCTATTTATTTTAATGATGAAAGCACGAATATTCGACAATATATCACTGAACATATATTTAATATCGAAAGAATCATTACCTTTAACGCCGCAATTATCGTTGTTATAAACAATTGACGAGCGTTACCATGCGGCGTCACCTCGCTCTGAGGTAACGCCGAGTCACGTTTTTTCGTACGTGCAGCCGGCTCCATCGAATTATAAGACGTTGTCACTTCAAAAATACAACATTAATACGTGAATATGGTTACCAACTTTCTAGTCCAAGTCTCAATTGTCTAACCACAACTACTCTCTCTCTCTCTCTCTCTCTCTCTCTCTCTCTGTCTCTCTGTATCACTCCTCGAGTCGGAACGAACTGCAACTTCAAATTCAAGTTTCAGAACCACTTATTCCTTCCAATACTTTAGCTAGTTTCAATGGTAGCACGTCTTGTGAGTCCGCACGGGTAGGTACCAGCACCCTGCCTATTTCAGCCGTGAAGCAGTAATGCCTTTCATTTTGAAGGGTAGGGCAGAATTGTACTGTAAAACTGAGACCTTAGAACTCATGTTTCGAGGTGAGTGGTGGCATTTACGTTGTAGATGTCTATGAGTTCCGAAAACTATTTACCATCACTACATAGTATAAAACAAAGTCGCTTTCTCTGTCCCTAGGTATGCTTAAATCTTTAAAACTACGCAACGGATTTTGATGTGGTTTTTTTTAATAGATAGATTGATTGAAGAGGAAGGTTTATATGTATAATAACATCCATTAAATAGTGGAGAAGTCAATATAAGTTACAGTTTCCGAAGCGAAGCGAAAGCGGGTCGCTAGTCTAAGCAATAAAAAATGAATTTTGTTTTTCAGTTTAACCACCATGTCAACCTCGTGATACCAAAAGCGGGTCCCTCGGGCGAACTCTGGGACGTGTCGTTCAAGAACTTGCTGAATGGAGAATCAGAGACGAGGGAGTACGACTACGTGTTCGTCTGTAACGGGCACTACAATACACCCTTTATACCGAACATACCGGGACTGAAGGAATTCCAAGGTGTGATTTCCGCGAAGACAAAAGAATCTCCTCCCTGCTGTAACTAGCCCTAGCTAACTAAAGCCATCGTCAAATGTATGAAACATTTGTTAGCACTAACTAGTGCCTTAGTATTGTTCCATTCAGACACAAATCTTCCCTGAAGTGCCAAAAACAATTGGACAAATTATCCGGAATGTATCTCCTCATAAGTGGTGTTTTTTTTTTTTTATTGCTTAGGTGGGTGGACGAGCTCACAGCCCAGCTGTTGTTAAGTGGTTACTGGAGCGCATAGACATCTACAACGTAAATGCGCCACTCACCTTGAGATATAAGTTCTAAGGTCTCAGTATAGTTACAACGACTGCCCCACCCTTCAAACCGAAACGCATTACTGCTTCACGGCAGAAATAGGCAGGGGGTGGTACCTACCCGTGCGGACTCACAAGAGGTCCTACCACCAGTGATTACGCAAATTATAATTTTGCGGGTTTCATTTTTATTACACGATGTTATTCCTTCACCGTGGAGGTCAATCGTGAACATTTGTTAAGTACATATTTCATTTAAAAAATTGGTACGCGCCTGCGGGGTTCAAACACCGTTTCTTCGCTAGATACCATTGCACCGGACGTCTTATCCTTTAGGCCACGACGACTTCATTCGAACACCGTTTCTTCGAAAAGCGAGCTGATAACGAGGTCTTCCTTCCAGGAGACGTGATGCACAGCCACGACTACAGAGTCCCAGAGATCTTCTCGGGCAAGCGTGTGCTGGTGGTCGGCGCGGGACCCTCGGGGATGGACATAGCTTTGGAAGTCACCAACGTCGCCCATAAAGTCATACTGAGCCATCACTTGAAAGAACAACCCAGAACAATCTTCCCCGATAACTTGACCCAGAAGCCGGACGTGAAGAGACTTGATGGAAAAAAGGTTCACTTCGCTGATGAAAGTGAAGATGAAGTCGATGTAGTGTTTCTGTGTACTGGTGAGCTATGGGATGTTGTTTTTTTTTACTTTTATCTTTTTTTATTGCTTTTGTAGGTGCGAGCATGCGGCTAACCAGACGTTAAGTAGTCACTGTTACTCATGGACTTGGACAATGCCAGAGGCACAGCGAAGCCAAGGAAGACTCGTATAGAAGAACGTGGTAAAAAAGATATCTGGTAACGCACTGTTGATAAACGCGGTAGTACCAGGTAGTATGGATTAACTCTGCTCTGGGACCAGGAGGTTGTGATGATAAAACGGAAATAAAGAGATTATCTTGCACAGCTCTTGGGGGCATTCTCAGTGAAACATGCGGTGTACAACACAAGGAGAACTGAAGTCCCTCCGTAGACACAGAGGCTCCAAAGAACCTATGAAAATAGGATCATATTAGATGTCGTCAAGTCCACGTATTTCCTCGCTTTAGCTTAATGTAACTTATTAAGCTGACAGTCCAGTGCCCACTTAACGCTAATTGTCCACCGCTGCTCATGGAAATCAGCAATAACAGTTGTTCAGGCGCTGTCCACCTCTGTCGGGGATCTATTCAAATTACCAGTTAAGCTATCGGTATGTTATGGCGCTTAAGCAAAGCAATACGACTAATAACAACCACGTGGTATATTAATTTAATTAAGAAACCCGAGCAATACCTGGATCTGTCGCTGGCAAGGACAACCAATGGAGCTTTCAAAAAACGAAAGTCCCACAGACATCTCAAAAGACCTTATGCTTCCAGGATACCTATACAACTTCCCTTTTCTTCACGAGTCTTGTAATATATCCGTGGAAGACAACTGCGTGGAGCCTCTCTACAAGCACCTGGTCAACATCCACCACCCGACCATGTGCTTCATCGGCGTGCCTTACTACGTGTGCGCATTCTCCATGTTTGACTTGCAGGTACCGTCGCAGATAACAGAGAGTCTTACAATAATACATGGTTTTTGTGGCATTTAGAATAAATTGTGAGATCGCGCCGACTGTTTTTTTTTTTTTATTGCCTTTGTTGGCAGTTGGGCATACGGCCCACCTGATGGTGAGTGGTTACCGTCACCCATGGACTTCAGCAATGCAAGGGGCAGAGCCAAGTCGCTGCCTACCAAGATTTCTGAAACGGTCGTGCTTTTTTTTATTGCTTTGATGGGTGGACGAGCTCACAGCCCACCTGGTGTTAAGTGGTTGCTGGAGCCCATAGACTTCTACAACGTAAATGTGCCACGCCCCTTGAGATATAAGTTCTAAGGTCTCAAGTATAGTTACAACGGCTGCCCCAGTCTTCAAACCGAAACGCATCACTGCTTCACGGCAGAAATAGGCAGGGTGGTGGTACCTACCCGTGCGGACTCCCAAGAGGTCCTACCACCAGTAAAAAGTGCTTGCAGGATTACTTGTTGACTTCATCCTCTTGTCCCGTGAGACAGAACCTTCAACCGGATCCGATGATTGCATTGCAATAGTTACATTTTACATAAAGTTGTTCGCCGCTTCAATTGAGATCACAATGTTAGGTACTGTAAAAATTCACCTAAATCGGTATGTATGTTTTAATGAGCCGTGTGTAGTCAATTTTGACTGATTCGGTAGTGCAAATCGGTGTGCCGAGGGTCGTAGGTTCGAATCCCACATCGGACCAACATTATGAACATGTTTTTTTTGCTCTTTTTCTGGTTGATTATTATCTATATTTATGTATGTATATATTTGAACGTATATAAGTATGTATGTCAGTCTCTGATATCCATAATACAAAGAATCTTAAATCAGGGTCAGATGACTTTTCTTGATTTGATCCCACTTATTTTTATTATCTTTAATTAGCGTAATACAGTTAGGTAAAGACTAGCGAAATAAAAGATAAAATTTGGTATAAAACATCGTCAGTGGAGTTTTTTAAAAAGAGTTTTATACTAATTAAATATTTTATGAGCTGATTGAACAAACGACTGTTTGTGTTCATATGACTTTTAATATTCAATATTCAGGTCAGATATTACATACGTTCCATTAACGGGACCTTTAGTCTTCCGTCCACTGAGGAGATGATCGCCCACTGGGAGGAGGAGAAGAAAGACAGAGCTTCGAGGGGATACACGAAACGACAGGCCCACATGATGGGACCCGACCAGGTATTCACACGAACATGTACTGAAAGCTCCTTAAAGCTGCCCGCAACTACTCTTGTACATTTTGCCTTCCTGCGGAACCGACTTATCATGTACCAGTATCATAAGTGCGAAATAACAGTTTTAGAAATTAGTTTTTACTGGTGGTAGGACCTCTTGTGAGTCCGCACGGGTAGGGACCACCGCCCTGTCTATTTCTGCCGTAAAGCAGTAATGCGTTTCGGTTTGAAGGGCGGGGCAGCCGTTGTAACTATACTGAGACCTTAGAACCTATATCTCAAGGTGGGTGGCGTATTTACATCGTAGATGTCTATGGGCTCCAGTAACCACTTAAACTCAGGTGGGCAGTAAGCTCGTCCACCCATCTAAGGAATAAAAAAAGGTATTTAAGGGGAAATTTAGATAAATTATTGATATCGTATTGTCGAATCAGGATAGAAGCAACTACTAAGAACCCGAGATAGGTAATTGGTATGACTTCCTCATGGTAGTTAAAAAAGGTTGTCGCATGCCTATCAAAGTATTATTCCATCGACTACTGAGTAAGTTGCCGAATCTTGAAACTCTGCCGAAATTGCCGAAGTTGCTATATTTTTGTTGCCGAAAATTGTCTTGTCTTGGCCGCCAGTAATTACATACCCGATCCGGTGGACCGAATGGTAAACAGTCGACGTTGCCCTAAACATGTCGAACCCGTCGCTTGCGACGAAGGGTTCAGGGAGTAAACTAACCCATAGACACAGCCCACTGAGTTTCTCAGTGGGTCGCAATTCTGATTCGTTGGTAGATTCAGCGAAGCACTGCTCTTGCTAGGGTTAGCAAGTTCTCGCAGGTTGAGCTTATGAGCTCACCTATCCGTCCGGTCGTAGCTGGAATAGCTTCTTAAGCTTCCAGCGAATAGGTAGGGAAATAAACAGACCATAGGGCTTAGAAAATTCTATCTGAGCCAGTCAACCTATGGTCATGCAATATCCTCCATAGTGGTAGGCTGACTTATGAGTCCGGGTAGGCCTGAATGCATGGACATGCCGCGCCGGTCTCAAATATTAGGATATAGGTAAGAAAAAATAGAGCGTTCGCCAGTAACAAACGGACAATTTCCCAAAAAAAGTGATAACAAAGAAAATCGGCTCACAAACAGTTAAGAAAATAGTACCAAACTGTTTCGTCATTGCCTATTTATTATTATAATTTAGTAAAAGCAATTTGTTTAGCGTTTGCTCAAAGGTAGCAACTTATTGTATTAACAGTTTATGTGGGTAAAATCTAACATCCGTTTCATGGCTACGTCACACTTGATCTCCAGGCGAGCTACTACATGTCGTTGTCTGAGGAGTCGGGGACGGTGCCTCTCCCACCGGTCTTCACGAGCATCCACAACGACAGTAGCCAGAAGTTCTTAGACAACCTCACTAGTTACAGAGATGATGTTTACGAAGTGATTGACGACAAACAATTCGCTTGTTTTCGTCTTCAGAGCGTTTAGCCTCTTGGGAAAGCGGTTTCGTGAACGCCTCTAGGGTTTAGAATCCGATTTCAAACATTCATCTTTGAATTATTGTCATTTAGGTTTTTCGCGATTCGTGAAAAAAGTTAAAACTATTTGTATCAAATATTGTTACTTTGAACAAGTTGATATAATCGTAGGTACAAAAAACGTCATTAGACCCAAATAATACGTACCTAGTGCTATTGAGAATAAGGTTAAAGGTTATTTATAGTTTTAGACTTAGAAATTTAGGGGGAATAATCTTAATGTTAGTTGATGTTGGTTTAGCTAGATAGTTGGCTTGATGTCGTAGCGCGGAATATATTTTTTACGTCTTGACATGAGAATATTTGGATATTGATAAAAAATTGTAGGCATACGATAATGCTAAAAAACAATGTTTATCCATTAATTTTGATTTGTGACTTTACAAATAGTTAACTAGGTCAGTCACAGTCATGTCGGAAAAATGCTGTTTTCCTTTACCCTGTGTATAGGATCTGTGATAATATTAATTTCGGATACATTTTATTGATAATTAATTAATTACTCGTAAGTGAAATCAGTTCAAATAACATTTCAATTAATTTTAAAATTGTATTTAATTTTTATTGCACACACGAAGTAGAGCATTATTTGACATTGAAACTTATATAATCATGTATTCGGGGGTTTTCATAAAAAATAAACAAAATTTAAAATACCAAAAAATTTATTGATATTACCCGATATCTGAAATACTTCATACCATAAGTCACCTGATACGTAAATGATATTATGTTTCCAAATCTTCATAATTATAATATGTTTGATGATACCCTAATTTTGTACGAGCTCATTTCGGATTCACGACAAATAGAAATACTGATACGTATTTCCGTATTATACATGGCTTAACGGTCATCGTTCTCGTCGAACCCGTCGGTGGTAGATTCTGCGAAGCACGGCTCTTGCTAGGGTTCGTGTTAGCAACGTCGTCAGGTTTGAGTCCCGTGAGCTCACCTACTAGTTAAGGTTACGCTTATATAGCCTCTCAAGGCTCTCAGCTTTGGTAGGAAAAAAAAGCGTGTACGGGGTCTAGAAACTCTCAACTATATATATAGACGTGAACATCTACAACTGGCTACCTGTATCTCCTCTTCCTCCTCGAGCCCGAACTCGCCCACTCGTCCTGACGAAACTGGAAAAGCCTTCCGACCACCAGCTGTCCTCCCGTACCAAACAAAAAAGCCAGTTTAATTGGCCGCGACCAATCACGGATTCTGATTAGCAGGATAATACTTATTCCCCTTATTCCGTTGCGGTGTCTGGGATCGGGCACTTGCCTAAAATCATCACCGTCATACCCAAAACAGAATCAAGTAGGTGTATATGAGTAAATAATCGCTATGACTTATCCTTCTTCAAAGGAGGCTTGTGGCTTGGCTCTGCCCCTGGCATTGCTGATGTCCACGGGTGACGGTAATCACTCACTATCAGGTGTGCCGCATGCTCCCCTGCCTACAAATGTAACTTAAAAATTAAATATTAATAATACCTTAAAATATTTGTAGCCTACACTTAATGACCTCGAGGCTTGAATTTCTGATAATCTTAAAACGTAAAAAACGGGAGTTAAACAGATTTTCAGTGCATATTTTGTAAGTTATAAGCTTAAACCTCTGAATGCCAGAACATTAGCACAATGCTTAATTAATATTACTAGTGGTCCCTCAGTAGTTTAAATTCGAATAAAATTAATTTAAATTATAAGTTTGAACATTATTATTATTATGGTTCTAATGTCAAAGACTATCATACTTCTATGATCACAGATTTCGCCAAGACTACACTATAGGCAAATAATATTAAAGATAAACAATATTAACCTATTTTCAATTTGACCACAGACTTTAAGCAATAACAAAAGGTACAATACGTGGTAGTGTGTGTAATGTTTTTTTATTCATTTAATGTATTTTTTATGCATAATTTAATAATAATATTAGCATTTAGCACTCCTTCTCTATATTCTCTATAAGTGTGGGAAATTTTATACTCCTCCGTCCGCGCAATTTTCGTAAAAAGGGGTACAATGTTTTTACTTCACGTATATAGATTATGATCTTAAAGTTGTAAAATAAAAGACAAACGTATTCGATTTTTTATTTTCTAAATAGTGAATCGATGGTTACATAATAACACTTAGATTATAATAAAAATTAAGAGGTACAATACTTAATTATGTTAATATTTTTCAAAAAAAGATGATTTAAACACTATTTTTTTATTGGTTTGTTTGAGAACGAAATTATAACTGAATGAGTTTGCGGCTCAGACCCATGACCTTGTGCTTTAAAGCCGATCCGGTAGTAGATTCACTTGCTAAGCAGCTGCTCTTGAGTTGTTAGGTCTCCTTCGGAGGCGCTCAGGCAGCTGTTAGCAAATCCCACCACTTCTGGCTGAGCCTTTGTTGGCCCACCTCTCCTGGTGAAACTAGAAAGGTCTCCGGGCCACCAGTAATGACTCAATCAAAAAAAATAAACTTTGTACTTTAAAGGTTGAGGTTGTCAAATAGACTGCCTGTATACGATATTGAAATTAATGGGTATTCCTAAGTTTTTTTTACCGTGTAAAAAAAACCAAAATAAATTACCAATCAGTTTCAACCTTACCTATTACGTATAACATAAGTGTATTCGTAAATATGTACGAAGTATTATCCAAAATCTAGGATATAGAAATATATTAGTTGAAACTTAAATATCTGACAATTTATACGGATCGCGTTTTCCAAACAAAAACCTTGTTGAATGAACAACTGTAGGTACTTATTACATTATAAACAGTGGGTTGAAACATAAAATTAATATTTTTTAAATCACAAATAATGAAATAATTTGACCACTTACTAAAGAAACTGACAAATTGACTAGATACCTGTATATACTAAAGATTTTACGGTAAAATCGTATTAAAAAACTTAACAAAATGCATAAATGTTTCGGATTCTTTAAAAATACATCACTAATATGCTTGGAATAATAGAAATTACGAAATTAAAATTAACAGAAACAAAAAACGAATTGAATAGTGAACAATCTCGTTCAATCTCAATATCACTATTTGAAACAGCTTTGAAATATAGTTGATTTGCTTGTTTCAAGAAAATTTAATAAATATTATTATTTAACACCGTTTCACCAACAAACAACTAGTGAACAGTATGCTAACGAGTCGAAATTCACTGAAGCAATGAGCATTGTTCGTACAATACTAGGTACCAACTATATCGTTCTCTTCATTATTGACTTCCACATTTCATCATAAATATTTATGTGTTTATGTTCCAATAACTTTATCTTGATATAAACATAATGAGGCTATTAATTCATAATGAGAATTTATTATTTATTTATGTTGATATTACGTAATAAATTCTAAAAAGGAACGTTTGCTTATTAAATTATGTTCTTGCAAATGCAGTGTAGTGCCTGTATATTTTTTTATGTGAGTTCGGTCTCGTTGTAACTGTTCTGTTGAAAAATATCCGAAACGTCGAAATATAAAATGAACAAAATAAAGAACTGGACCTTGCTTATCTCAGACGCTTAATAACATGTACTTACGTAACAAGAACACAAAACGGGAATCCTAATTGTATTTAACGATGAAAAGTAATTCCAGTAGGGAATCAATTTAGGACTCCGCGGTACAATAATCAGATCAGTGTGCTTATTGCGAGTTTTTTAATGTTCTCGATAGCGTAAAAAATAACTCATATTTGTATGGAATGGGATCGTCTGCCTACGATTGCCCACTGAGTTTCTCGCCGGATCTTCTCAGTGGGTCGCATTTCCGATCCGGTGGTAGATTCTGCGAAGCACGGCTCTTGCTAGGGTTCGTGTTAGCAACGTCATCAGGTTTGAGCCCCGTGAGCTCACCTACTAGCCACGGTTACGCTGAAATAGTCTCTAAAGGCTATCAGCTTAGGTAGGAAAAAAAAAAAACTTCCTACGTTTGCCGTTAGGGGCGCTGTTCCAACTGCATACAAAATTGGATTAGCTTATACGCTATCAAGAACGTTCAAAAAACTCGCACTAAGCAGACAGTACTCAACGAAACTACAAAACGATTAATTGATTTCTTTTTAACGGACATAAAAAAAGAAGGTTATATATTCAATGATTTTTATATACATACGTAATAATACGTAATATGTTCACACAGTTTTCCACTGCTTGTCAATCGATCCTATTGTGTATTCTGTTAGGTAGGTACCTACGGTAGATTTTCATTACGTTACTACTTAATACCAAATGTCTCTATTCTATTGGAACTCTGGTATTTAAGTTTATAAACATAATTATGGAGTATGAGGAATATGTTGCACTTATTCTTTAACTTTGTTAAGATAAAACTAAATGACGAGTCACATCCACATTACACGTACACGGTACACGTTGTAAACAAAACTGGTTTTAAAAAATGTGTCCATATTATTTCTTTGTGGAAAAATGGTGATCAACCTATCATAATTAGCATCCTATGTAGATTACTTTTAAGATTTTGTTGATGATGGTGTCTGGAAGCCTACTAATAAACGAAAAACCAAACCAACCAAACCAAATTCAATATTTAATTTTGTTTCAGGAAAAAACAAAACTGAATTAAATTTCTGTTTCAGGAAAAATACTACGCATCGTTGGCTACGGAAGCGGGCACGAAATCCCTGCCGTCGGTGTTGACGAAGATCCGGGAGGAAAGCTCCATTAGGTTTCTGCACAATCTGAAGCACTACCGACAGGACGTGTACAAAATCATCGACGACAACACTTATGAGATTGTAAACGACGCCGCTAGATAAATCTGTTGAAATTAGGCTGTAGACAATATTAGGCTCTAGACAAAATAAGTATAATTCATATTTTAGGTGAAATTAACGATTGACGCCTCCAGCCGGCTTACCGGCTGTCAAAATTGTGTATGACTTTTTGTTAGGTATATGGAGGAAAGAGGAGGAAAGGAGAACCGTCCATGTGAGAGAAGCTTGAAAAAGTGTCTCACTTTCAGCACTAAATAACAGTTCAAAAATCCTCCAGAATGGCGCTAGCATAGGCACAGGGTATGATATAAATTGAGCAGTTGTTAACTGATTAAAGTATGCTGAGTTAGGAACTTTATTTAATGACTGGGGTATAGTGACAGTGTAATATACCTACAAGATCTCACATGTTTACGTAGTTCAAACTAATTTCGTCAATATAACCTAAAATTTATTGCTACAGTGGTGGTAAAACGTGGAGATATCGAATGCATTTCCTTATCAGCTTTAAATAAAATACTTTTTGTGATTTTGTAGTGCTTACCATTTTTTCATCCTTTTTTATTTCTCTATCTTATTCTAATAACTTTCAGCGCCTTTTTTTAAATTTACCCGGTAGCTACTGTAGCGCCACCCTTATTTAGCAGATTTTAACGGACACTTTTTACACACAGAGACGGTTCTCCTTAACTCTACTCTCCATAGTTAGGTACATAGGTACCTTTACGCTGAATGCGGTATTTGAAATTTCAAATAATCAATTAAATGAAGAGCTCAAAGAGTATATAATACTACATTTAGAAGACCGTTGCAGCATAATATTTAAAGTTATTAAGCTCTACACACTTTGTGCCCACAGTTACGTATCCAAAGTGTTATTATAAAGTAGGTATGTTTACATACAATTTTAATTGTATTAATTCAATTTTTTTAAATTAGTAAACTGTTATTTATTAGACAAAGCTAAATAAATTCTACTTTGAAATATGTACAAATCGGTACCGACATTGTAGACATTCGTGGGCAAATAAACGCTGAAGCAAACGCAAACAACTGTATATTTACGTTTTTAATACTTGTATTGTCCGTAGTTGAGCGTGTTATGACCACTTTCAGGTTAGTAGGTATTCATCCTGGCCGTCTCTGCCGCATAACAATAAAGCCTATTAACCTGCTTATTTCTGCCGGATTGCCGTCCGTGATAGCCCTTAGACCTAGAGCAGATATCTCATACTTGTTGGCAGGCATGATGCTTATCATTATGTAAGTTATCTATGAGTGTCTATGGTATTATCTATCCCATCTCAAATAATAAAGGTATAAATTGAATTCTTACTTAGAAAGGATATTTATGATTTTCAGTAAACATTTAATTCTGAGGTAACCATGAATTTGCTTGCCAATTCAAATGAGTATAATCTGTATGTGAATTAATAATTAATGAGTTTATTAATTTGAAAGATAATTTTACATCATATATAATATATAATTTATTATACAATTATATATTTTCTAAAAAAAACTGCTCTGTTTCCAATTACAAAATAGGTAATTCTAATGAGTTCAGTTCTAATGAAATACAAATTTACCTTTGTGTTTTTTATCAAATGTTATTTATATTTAAAACATAATACCTACTGTGAATTATAAAATTCCTTTTTGAAAATAAACTTTAAGTCAGTGCATACTATTTGAATTTCAATGACTTCAAAAGCTGTTTGATTCATTTACTTCCCTAGCTCTCATATTAAAGTTAGATAATACTAGTCACTGTTATTGAAGCTTTCTTGTTGCCAAAACAGGTATAATACCATACAGTCCTTATGACAAGGGTAAAACTGCAGTTGCAAAGAACTGTAAAACATAAACTTTGAAAGATAAATTTTAGACTCATTGGCGCAGTGATTAGCACTCCTGACTGTTGTGGATTCCATTTCTGTAGTGTATTACTAAGGGCGTACTATATTACAGTGGCGAACAATTGGAGAAGCCTATGTCCAGCAGTGGACTGCTATGGGCTGATGATGATGATGATCATGATTACTGAGGGTACTTGTTCTCCTTTTAATAAAAGGATTGCTAAGTGCGGGTTGTATATAGACAGATACACAATGAATACTGACTTTTTACCCAACATATGTGCTTAAGTTCATAATCACTACATAGTATAAAACAAAGTCGCTTTCTCTGTCCCTATATCTGTCTGTCCCTATGTATGCTTAAATCTTTAAAACTACGCAACGGATTTTGATGCGGTTTTTTTTAATAGATAGAGTGATTGAAGAGGAAGGTTTATATGTATAATAACATTTACTGGTGGTAGGACCTCTTGTGAGTGTTGCGCACTGGTAGGTACCACCGCCCCGCCTATTTCTGCCGTGAAGCAGTAATGCGTTTCGGTTTGAAGGGTGGGGCAGCCGTTGTAACTATACTGAGACCTTAGAACTTATATCTCAAGGTGTGTGGCGCATTTACGCTGTAGATGTCTATGGGCTCCAGTAACCACTTAACACCAGGTGGGCTGTGAGCTCGTCCACACATCTAAGCAACAAAAAAAAACCCATTAAATAGTGGAGAAATCAATAATAAATTACAGTTTCCGAAGCGAAGCGAGGGCGGGTCGCTAGTACATAATAAACCATAATAATTCCCACACCAGATAAACACGGATATATTGTAAAAATTTGTTTACTTTGTCCTGGGTGTTTAGTAGCTTTTCTTATCTAGGTAAAGGTTGGTAAAGTAAATAAATAAAACTCCATAGTTCAGCCAAAAATATTATTTATTTATTTAAGCGTATTTTAATTTATATATATATTTATATAATATGATACCGATATATATATTATTATATCTTTAAATCTAATTTAATGGCTCCATTTCAAAATCCATAGAAAGCAAACTTTTTTCAAATAACGGGAATAATAGTGCATAGTAATAATGTGCGACAATACTTTCAATGAGAGCTCTTGGTAGAAATTTTACTTTTGCGGTGTCGTCTTCAACGAAAAAACATACTACAATGCATACAGCTCTGCAATGCAACTTTGCTTTTATAAAATTGTTGCACGACCTACTAAAGTGTCTTAATATGATATTTCGAACCTCGATTTTGCCAGTATCCTCCTAGCCTTCACGGGTGAGTGAGAGAACGGTAGTAATTTAAACTCACCCCTCGCACGACTTAGGATATTCCAATCGCATCACTGTCGCAATAAACGATTGTTTTAACTGACATCTTAAAAGAAGGAGCCTCTCAAGCAGACTTTAATTTTTAATTCCCGTTATTTTTTGATTTACAAGTCTGCGGAATCTTCTAGAATTACAACCCTTTACGGTATGTATACATAGAGGGCCAGTTACTTCACAATTTTTGTACTTACGAGTTCTATAATAGTTAAAAATAAAGGTATCATTTTTCACATTTCGTTTCGACAATACAAAAATATCTGATTTTTTTTTAAATATTTTTTTTCTATATAATGTAATTATTTTTCTCCAATTCGTCTCACTGAGTGTAGGGCTCAGGAATATTTATTATTATTTTTGTGGAAGATTTTTTTGCAAGTAACTGTGACAATATATTTGTTTCATATGTCCGTTGTCCAATTCTACAATTAAACATTAAAAATAAAGGTTTTTTTTTTTCTTAATATGCAACAACTAAGGAGACTATTTTTTATGTAATATTACTTGTAAAATATAATAATCATACATACGATAATATCAAAAACAAAACTGAATATTATATTATAGTTTAAATGAAATGGCATTGTTAGTTATGAATGAAGGATTGCCGAAAAAACAACAATTCCGCTCAACGTCCAACAGTATTACCTCACACGATGACACGCCGTTGCCCAGTGACGCTTTGTTTTGTTTTTCAAGGATACCATTTAATTAGAGTCCTGGGATCCATCTAAAAGACTCCAGGAATAGACACCGATCAGAACCTACTCAAAAACTAGAGTCATCAGGGATTAACTGAATTAACATGATCACTATTTTTTTGTGAAAAAGTGATGATTTATTTATATGGATAATTTAGCAAAGTTTTTGAAGACCGATGATGCCCTACCGTGTTTTAGTGTCGATTCTGTAGTAAGCTGGTTCGTCCAACTTCGTTCTGTAGGTTGCAATATTAACTGAATCCCTGTTATTCGTAATGAAATTAGTTTTAGCAAATCTTAACTTTGTTGACCAGCCATTACTGATCATATTTGATTACCACTAAAACACAGCGTTAAGTCTACAAAATTTGCTTTTGTTTATGATAGTGAAAAACAAAACGCCACACCTCGATGTTGCCACTCATATAAAATATGCTACCATTTAGTAGTTTTTTTTTCCAAGATTGGCCGCGTCGTACAAAACCTACCCTATCCTATCGTTGGTCGACCTAACTACATTCCCTGTCATGTCAGTCCCATTTATAGCGATATGAAAATGAATAGGGCCGATACCCTGTTAGAAATAAGTATAAAGTACATATTTTTAGAAATTAAATATTCAGTGTTGTAACTTTAAATTAAAATAATATTGCAAATTAAACTTTAAGAATCACACTTTGAAATGATTACTCATTTTTGCAGTTTACATGATGTTTTAATTTTTAAACATTACAACACTGAAAACTAAAAAAAAATAGGTATAAAAATGGCAACAATTCATAAAAAGTACAAGCAGACACAGTTTAATATAAATCCCGCAACTTAACCCTAGCAAATATCAACTTTGTAATAAAATTCAAAGTTGAAACACCGTCATCCCACAAAGTAAATACAACAAGTTGTTTCTTATTTTAAAAATCTAAATAAAACTACAAATTTTTATTTCTATTTACATTTAACTGAAGCGAAATAAATGATTTTCTTTAAACGTCTAGCACCATTTTAAATTGTACACGACAATTATAAAATTATGAAACAAAAAAAATATATATGTTCAGTGTAAAATAATAGTTATAACAAACAGTAACTCTGCGGTGTTCAAAAGTTAAAATTTCAAATTAGACAAATGACTTAAAAAAAATCCACTAGTTAATTTTGATTCGACTAGTCACAACTTTATTGCAATTAAATATATATATATTAAAAGAAGAATACCGTATACGTACGTATGACAACAAATTAACTTTTATACTATGTAATTAGTAGTTAAACACACGTGAAATGAGATTGCAACACTT